CCATCCCTGCACAATCACACCCTTTCCTTGCACCCTCTCAAGGAATCCCTCTGGTAGTGCTTCTTTTAGACCAGTTGCCTCTCCTCCAGGAAATCTAATTACCCATATAAAGTTAACATCACAAAGCTCTAACCCTTGTGCCATCTCTTCCATCTGCTCCCTGGACAAGTAGTTTTCACTGCCCAAAGAGATAAACACAGTCGAGAACTGATTTTTCTTGCTTAGCCACTGCATGATCTCTGAATAGTCTTCTTCACTGTCAGTTTGCGTAACAAGTGGTCCAACACTTACCATTTTTCTCTGGCAGAAGACAGATAATAAATCGAGATACTTCCCCTCAATTCCCCAGCAGCTCTTTATCAAAACAATTTCACAAGATCGTTTGAAGCTACCGAAAGGGAAGTCTTCACCTGCTTCTTCAATTTTGTGTAGAACTTCCAGATTTATTCTTTCATAATTATGTAAATAAATTGTCTGATAAGGGAAAGTAGCATTCCCATATGTCCGGTAATGATAGTAAAAAGACATCGTTGCTGCTCCTGAAGAGGCAAAATAAACGGCAGGAATACCTAGTGATGAAGCGAGTGTTGCAGCCCATGGTTGGAAGAAATCATATATGACTAAGTCAGGCTTTACAGTTTTGATGATCTCTGCAAAGCTAGAGCGTGACAATTGGAAAGCCTCATGGAGTTTTGGCATAAGATCAGACGGCACGTTTTTGGTTGTGTGGTAATGGGGAGGAAGTTCAGGCCACGAGGGTAAATGGAGTTCGACTAGTTGTACAGAGAAATCACAGGAATTATTTTCAATGGATTTACTGATAGAAGTTAGATTGATTGATGTGGAACAGAAATATATTTGGAAGTTTTTCTGTGATAGTTTCTTAGCTAGCTCAAAATAGGGGAATATATGACCATGAGCCAACCATGGGAACATTAGAATTCTAATTAGACTGGTTTGTTGCGTCTCCATGAATGAAGGCTGCAGAATCTCAAGAATTCAGAAAAAGGGATGTTATGGGTTATAGATGTAGATGATAAAATTCTCCACTGTTATTGATCATTAAGTAGAAAGAGTCGAAAAAATCAAGAAAGATAGGTTCGTATTTTGTTGACGAGTGATTTGGTGGTATCACAAGACATTTCTTGTTGGTGAGTGGGTTATTTGAAGTCTCGAAGGTCCATTTCAGAGAATAACAAAACATCAATTTCAAATATAAGCATAAACTGGCAGATTCCAACGAAGAAAAAACAATCCCTTTCACAATTTTGTCCAAGCCAAACTCATGATTGATTTACATAATAATTATTTTATGTTTCTTTATTGATTTTCATAAGCATTATTATTATTATTTTTTATTTTTTTTATTTTTTTATGTTTCTTGGCTGTTTTTATTCATAAATGTACATAAGGTAAAGACAAGATTGGAGATTGTAGTGGTTTGCTTCTTAGGTTTTGCAGGAAAATTTATTTATGCAACTACATCTTGTTTGAACTAAACCACGCATGCACGTATAGATTGATTGCCACCGGAAACGTTGGGCAGAATAGGGAGTTTCACAAGCACAGACACACTGATGAATTCTCCATCTTAGGAATCCATCTATAGAATAAGAGGTGCTTTTGTTGGGTTTTTGATAACCAATAAATTCGGGGTTATGATATTAACGTGGGTTAATATTATTTCATAGACATAAGTCGATGAATGAAATAAGTCTATCAAGTCCATGAGCTACACCCGACCCAATTATATTCTCTCTTAGATAGTTTGAATCTTAACCCCTTTACTTCTTTAAAGGTTCTGTTTGGTTTTTGATACTCAATAAATTCCGGGCTATGATATTAACGTGGGTTAATATTATTTCATAGGCATAGGCCGATGAATGAAATAAGTCCAACAACCAAGTCCATGAGCTACACCCGACCCAATTGTATTTCCTTATGGAAGACTTGAATCTTGACCCGTTTACCCTTTAATGGCTCAACTTAAAGCCTAACCCTAAAGTATTTATTTGGTTATAACCCTAGCCACTTTCTAATGATGATTGTGTGATTTTGAGAGAATATGAAGTGAATCTCGGCTGCCCCCTTTGTGTGAGAAAAAAGGTGTCTAGAAGTGTCCAGAACGCTTGTATAATGTGTGTAATTGGTGATTCCTTCATAGTATACCTTTGTGGTGTCTTCTCCTAACCTTTGTGGCCACAAATCATCATCCTTTCTTGTCCTACGTGGATAAGATTGAATAGCAACCAAGGTGAATCAATTGATTGTGGTTTGGAGCCAATTGAATTGGTTGTTGGTTGAAAAATGTGCGTTGGACTGAGCCCGAAAATCATCGATTTGAAGATCTTTCAAGAGTGTTTCCGCAACAATTGGTATCAGAGCTTGTGTTGTTGATAAATCTGTGATTTTTGGGGCTAAAATGGGCTGGAAGTGATTAGAAACGGATCTGGAAATCAGAGGCAGAAACTATCCAGTTTTTCAAATTTCTGTCGGATCTGTTCTGGCATTTTCTGGTGAAACCAAAAGGAGTTTGGCGAAACGGGCACCACCGGTGGACTGTGCAGGCAGAGAAGAAGCTAGAAGGGTGACAGGTCGCCGGCGCGTGAGAACTCTGGCTAGGCGCGTGTGAGAGCGTGAGACGGAATCTGGCGATGGTGTCTTCAGACAGAATGTTGCTGGAGATGAAACGGAGCCTGCAATGTTGGATTTCAGTTTGGAGCAATATAGTGAAAGTTGGACGATTTTGCCCTTAGACGTTCGGGTGCCGGTTGCTGTTTTCGTGTTGCTGTGGTTGCTGGTGACTTTAGGATGAATAGTGATAGCTCCGAAGTGGTGAATTCGCGTCTCTCGATATTTACGGACCTTCAGATATGGTCCGCTCGGTATCGTATTCTTTGCTTTTTATAATTACAGTTGAAATAAATGTGTAGAGTAATTTATTTTTTACATTAGAGGTCATCGTGTGGGGTGACATTAGGTTTGGGGTTTCCATGAAGGGGTAACCATTGCCTATTGCTAGATCTAGGAATTATTTGTTAATTATTTGCCTTAAATTCTTTGTGAATTTGTTGTCAATTTTTCTACATTATTAGAATTGCATATGGCCTTAGGAAATGTTATTGAACTATTCTATGTGAATTATGTTCATACTTTACTTGTGGTCATTATTTGACATTGGTGGCAAATGTAGGTCTAAGGTAAGTGCGAAAAATAACATATATTTTAACTGTAGTAAAATTTGGATATAGTTGAAAGATATTGTTCTAGGATGATAATAAAAGGAAAGATAAGGATAGAGACAAGGCAAATGTGACTTTAGGGTCGAGTAGTGATCCTAGTGAGGTTTATTGAGAGAATAAACCTAGTTCTTGCATTGCATCTATGTGTAATCTTTTCTGCATGTATATGATCACTTAATTATGTTGCAATGTTGATGTTACACTTTCAATATGTTTGATGTGTGTAATTGTATGAATTAGAGTAACTTATTACCTTGTGTAATATGTTTACATGCATAGTGGGTTAAGTTTTGTGGCGTACTCTATTTGCTCTGTGAGTGCTGTGACAGTGTGGTAGTGAGAAGAAAGTTGAGCAGCTGTTTCTCTCCTTTATCTTTGTAAGCCTGTATGGTTTTGTGAGATTATGTGAGGCGGCCATGTTAGGGTTACCTTCTTTATCTTTGTGAGCTTCATTTGTGAGTATTGTGAAGTAACCGACTCTTTCTTCGATTTTTCTTTGTGAGTGCCACCTTCGCTATTTTCTTTGTGGATTTTTGGAGCTTTGGTGATTGGAGAACCTTTGTGGTCACCGAAAGGTGTTGTTTTGCCACAGTAAGTTTGTGATACATTAGCAGTAAGTTGGATGTCTTTTGATAAGGTGGAGTATAGATGCCTAGGGGTACATGGTGGTTTGTACCGGGGATGTGGAGTGTGACATTTGGATCACGAGTGAAGATATGATCAAATGTGTAGAATCCTTTATCTGTGAAAGAGACCCTGATCAGGTGGAGTGTGAGCGAGACACTTCTATCACTTCTATAAGGTGGAGTCCCATTATCCACGTAGGTTGGGAGAAGTGATATGGTGATAGAGGATTATCCCGAGAGCTTAGGATCTATTGTGACTTGCTAGTTAGACATGAGTTGAGTGATCTGTTTAGTGAGCATGATGGGTGATGAGAGGAGATATGTGTTCTCGAGGTGTGAGCAACACGGAATGGGATAGGATAAGTGTGGTGAGATCTTTTCTTAGGGTCATTTATGCATGTGTTGCATATGTGGTTAACCGTGGTTTGATTGACTCCAAGTTAATCTATGGTTCTATGTGAACGTGTTTATGAAAAGATCTATATATGTTATCCTATAGTATATCATCATCACATGTGTATTTGCTCTTGATGGTTTACTGTTAAATACTTGCTTCTACTTGGGTTTTTTGACCTTAGCCCCAATGACTACATGGAGCAGGTATGGTATGTGTTTCAAGTTGGAAACACGAGGTAAGGTCTGTGATCCAATTTTATTGGTTACCTTGATTATGCAAGTGCTAATTGTGTGTTTTGACTGCTTGCAGATTTATTGGGCATCAAGGTGGAGATTTGTTGGGTTTTTTATACCAATAAATCCCGGGATATGATGTTAACGTGGGTTAATATTATTTTATAGACATAGGCCGATGAATGAAATAAGTCTAACAACCAAGTCCATGAGCTACACCCGGCCCAATTGTATTTCCTTATGGATGGCTTGAATCTTGGCCCGTTTACCCCTTTAATGACCCAACTTAAAGCCTAACCATAAAGTATTTATTTGGTTATAACTCTAGCCACTTTCTAATGATGATTGTGTGATTTTGAGATAAGATGAAGTGAATCCCGGCTGCCCCCCTTTGTGTGAGAAAAAAGGTGTCCAGAACTCTTGTATAACGTGTGCAATTGGTGGTTCCTTCATAGTATACCTTTGTGGTGTCTTCTCCTAGCCTTTATGGCCACAAATCATCATCCTTTCTTGTCCTACGTGGGTAAGATTGAATAGCAACTAAGGTGAATCAATTGGTTGTGGTTTGGAGCCGATTGGATTGGTTGTCGGTTGAGAAAGTTGCGTTGGACTGAGCCCGAAAATCACCGATTTGAAGATCTTTCAAGAGAGCTTTCGCAAGAGGTTCAACTTAAAGCCTAACCCTAAAGTACATATATGGCTATAACCCTAGCCACATTTTGTGATGTTTTATGTGGTTTTGTGAGAGAAATCAAGGAATCTCGGCTGTCCCTTTTGTGTGTGAAAAAAAGCCCTCTAGAAGTGCCCAAAACGCTTGTTTAACGTGTGCAATTGGTGGTTCCTTCATAGTATACCTTTGTGATGTCTTATCCTAACCTTTGTGGCCACAAATCATCATCTTTTCTTATCCTACGTGGGTAAGATTGGATAGCAATTGAGGTGAATTAGATTGTTTGTGGTTTGGAACCGATTAAATTAGTTTTTGGTTGAAAAATGTACATTGGATTGAGCCCGAAAATCACCGATTTGAAGATTTTTCAAGAAAGCTTCCGCAATATTTGGTATTAGAGCTTCAAGGTGGTGGTCTTGGCTCGTGAAACATACCAAAAAGGTCCAAAAATCGCAGCAGAAATCAGATTGAAGAAGTTATCCTAAAACAGTTAAAATCAACCTCCGTTTTTCGCATTTTCTGATCAATCCAAAAGGAGTTTTGGGAAACGGAGACCACTAGCGTGACGTGCAAGTGGAGGCGAACCCTGCAGGGTGGCGCATAAAGCCCACGCTTAGAGAGTCTCCCAAGTCGAGATTGTCTCTTTAGGCAGTTTGTTTCTCACATTATTTTTGACATTTTTCGTGTTGAAAGTTTTCTATTTCAGGGTCTGTAGTAGAATCTGGACAGCGTTGTTCTTCGGACATTCGAAATTCGATCGTGGTTCGTTGGTTGCTTGTAATACCTTAATTTAATAAAATAATAAAAAGATAAAAACTATAAACAATTAAAAGAAAACGGCAGGTGGTGGATATATATATATCCACCACCAAAGTCTTGCAAAACCCAAGACCCCATTTCATTTCACAATTCAGAGAAAGAAAAAACGAGAGCGGGGAAAGAAAAAGAAAGAGAAAAGAGAAAGGAAAAAAAAATAGAAAAATTTCTCCAACGTGTTAGGAATTAAATGCTCTATACTATTATGCTTGAATTCCTCAATTATGTAAGGTAAGTAAAAAGTTACTTATTGTTAAGTTATGTTTAATTTTATAGTTGTTAGATTATTAGATTAAATTCAGTTTTATTGAAGGGGTTAAGTATAATAAACTATGAAATTGAGAAAAATGAAAGAAAAATTAGTTTTAGTAATTAAAGAGACTTTAGAAATCGCCTAAACGTGAAATAATTAAATTTGAGTATCGCCTATTTAATTATTGAAATCACTGAAAATAGTTAATTGTTGATTTAAAAATTATATTATGTTCCAGGCGGCGATATGGACATCACGACACTTTACCGACCGAGTTAATTTTGGCGTATATAACTGTGAGTGGAAAAATATATATATAGTTTTAAAGTATTTATAAATTAAATATATTATCAAAGTGTGTACATTTATATGCAATTATGTATTCGATTATATGATTATTATGAAAATCTCTTTTATTATGATACATGTGGAATCTCAAAGATTATTTATTGCACATTTATTGTTTGGTATGCGAGAAATGTGATATTGAGATTGACCAAAAAAGTACTCATGATTATATACTTCTTCTAGTTTACAGAGGGGCATTGGCCATGTTCTATCCTACACGGAGGGGTCCTGACCGGATATTGGTCTTGACCGTGTACATATAGTTCACAGAGGGGTCTTGACCGTGTTCTAGAATTGATTATGAGAGGTCTTTGAAACCTACTTTCATTTACGGAGGGGGCCAAATGCCCGTGGTGAAAGTTCCTAGTTTCATGGGCGGATCATAGATTTCAGTCAGATGGTACATTTTTGGTAGATTTTTCAGGATATTGGATATGATAAGATTATCGTACAGTTATCAATTGATGTTTATGGATTGAATTTGAGAGGATATTTTATGATTCTATGTGAATGTCTCACGTTTGGCTATAACTATATGATGCTATCTTGTGAATTATTCAATGATATGAATTCGATTTTCGATTAAAATATAAAATAGAAAAAAGTATATATTTTTGAACTTCTTCACTCACTGAACTATCAATTCATATTTTCCCACATTTTTCTTATCAGGCAACAGTTCAGTTTCTAGGCATCTTTTGGAGTTGAACCTTTGATTTTGGAGTCAGAGCCACACGACAGAGATTGTTAGTATGACTCACTTTGTAGAGCATGTAGTCAGTATTTTGGGACGCATGTTCATATTTAGATGTGATTTTGCATCACTTGTAAATGATTAGGGGGCTCACTATGTATTTTGTATCTACATGTATATCTCATTTTATTTCTTGGTAAAAGTTGAGATTTCGACTTATCTTTATTGTGTTGTGCTATAGTTTGGAATTTGTGTGAAACTGATCACAGGTTGGTTAATCCTATTTACAGGGGAGATAACGTCGAAATTTCGTTAGAAAAATGATATATAAAAAGTGATATATTGTATTTGTAGTAGTCTTAATGGTGGATCCGACTTTTAATTGGTATCTATCATCGGTGCATGCCACGTCCGGACCTAGTGATGTTACACGGGGCGAGGTGTGTCAGTTTGGTATCAGAGCATGCATTAGAGTCCATAGGTTTGCATTGTATATACATACATTCTAATGTTTAGCATATCATGCATAACTGTAAGTGAGTCATGCCTCGTGGTGGCAAAACTCGAAGGCTCCAAGATATGTTGCCCCTGTCTCACATTGCTCCTCATAGAAATGAACCTAGAGAGTTCGAGAGGGTAGAAAAATCAGTTCACCAGCCTCTTGAACAACGAGGACAGGGAAATGTGATTGGAACCAATCCTATGGCTGTTGAAAGAATTGCGATTGCTGTTGCATCTGCTATGCATAATACTGACAGAGATTTTAGTATTGAGAGGGCTACAAAATTAGGGGCTAAAGTTTTCACTGGCACAGTTGATCCTGCAGTTGCACAGGCATGGATGACTAAGATAGAGACAGTATTTGATGTTATGGGTTGCTCAGATGATCGGAAGTTGTGTCTTGCCACTTTCTTGTTAGAGGAGTGTGCATATGATTGGTGGCAATCGGTACGGAGCACATATCTAGAACCTTCCATCATCACTTGGACAGATTTTCGTCATATCTTTTACGATGCCTATTACCCTCGATCCTATAAAGATGTAAAGTAGGAGGAATTTCTGAAACTAGTACAAGGCCAGATGACTATTGTAGAATATCAGGTGAAATTTATTAAACTTTCAAAGTATGCCCAAGTTCTGGTAAGTAACGAAATGGATAAATGTAGACGATTTGAAAATAGGTTAAGGGAAGAAATTCGGTTAGTAGTAATAGCTGCAGGTTGGAATGAATTTGGTAAATTGGTGGAATCAGCCTTGAGAGTAGAAAAGAGCATTTCTAATAGGCCAAGTGGTAGAGAACAAACAATGTTCAGAGCAAGCAGTAGTCAGACAATGGCAAGTGCTTCTAGCTATAGACCACCACGGAGGGACAGTAGAGGATTTCGACCTGGTGTGTCCAATTCAGGTCAATCCAAATCTCAATTCCGAGGAAGTCAGGGTCCTAGATTCAGTTCCAGTACTGTACAGCAGCCATTGGCCAATCGTAATTATACTCAAGGTTCTTTCCAGAGATCATTTACTCCGAGATAAGGAGAGAGTTCTACTAGTGTCAGATTTTCTTCTTGCCAGTTATGTGGAAGATCTCATCCTGGAGAGTGTTTAAAGTTCAAGGGAGTTGGTGTTTGTTATCACTGTGGCCAAGAAGGACATTTGAAAAGGAACGACCCAGTTGTATTCCAAGAGAGTGGCATGGCACAGAGGATGTTTCCATAGGAGAGTGCTGGTAGTACAAGACAGAATCAGACTCAAAGAGATGATTCAGCTAACAGAGCGGGTGCAAACAATGTGGCCCAGTCTAATATCGCAAGCGGTAGTGGTACAAAATCAAAAGGGCAGGCAGGATGACCGAAGACCCAGGGCAAAGTTTTTGCTATTACTCAGCAGGCAGCAGAGAAGTCGTCAGATGTTATCATGGGTATGTTGTCTATTTTTGATAAAAATACTCGTATTTTGATTGATCCTGGATCTACACATTCTTTTATGTCATTTGCATTTGCTTTATGTGAGAATCAAAGGTCAGAACCTCTAGGCAGTTGTTTGGTAGTGAATACACCAGTAGGAGAATCACTATTAGCAAATAATAAATATCGAGATTGTGGGATTAAGGTAAAGGAGAACGAGTTGAAGGCAAATTTAATACCTCTAGACATACATGATTTCGATGTTATCTTGGGTATGGACCTTCTGGCAACAAATCAAGCTTCAGTTGATTGCTTTCGAAGGGAGGTTGTGTTTAGACAGCCAGGACAGCTTGAAGTTATATTCAATGGACAGCGCAGAATTTTACCGTGTTGTGTGATATCTGCTATTGACGCTAGAAGATTATTCAACAAATGCTGCCATGCATATTTGGCTCATGTGATTGATACGAGTGCTAGAAAATTAAAACTTGAAGACATCCCAGTGGTCAAAGACTTTCTTGATGTATTTCCAAAAGAATTACCGGGCTTACCACCAGACAGAGATATGGAGTTTACTATAGATCCGATTCCAAGAATTGTACCTATTTCACGGGCACCATATAGAATGGCACCAGCAGAATTGAAAGGATCAGTTGCAAGAGTTGGTAGACAAGGGTTTCATTAGACCTAGTGTATATCCGTGGGGAGCACCAATTTTGTTTGTGAAAAATGAATTTTGATGATTTGTTTGATCAGCTTCAAGGTGCTGCATTATTTTCAAAGATTGATTTGCGTTCTGGATATCATCAACTTAAAATCAGGGACAGTAATGTGCCAAAAACTACTTTTAGGACAATGTATGGTCATTTTGAATTTCTTGTGATGCCATTTGGGCAGACCAACGCACCAGTAGCATTTATGGATATGATGAATAGAGTGTTTCTCCTGTATTTAGACAGATTTGTGATTTTATTCATTAATGATATTCTAGTGTACTCTCGAAATCATGATGAGCAGAAAGAGCAACTCAGAATCATTTTTCAGATGCTACGTGATAAGCAATTGTACGCTAAACTCGGTAAATGTGAATTTTGGCTTGATAAAGTTATATTTTTGGGATATGTCATATCAGCAGAGGGAATTTATGTTGTCCAGCAGAAATTTGAGGCTGTGATAAAATGGGAAAGGCCTACTAATGTGACAAAAATACGACGTTTTCTTGGTTTAGCAGGTTATTCTAAAATTGCTCTTCCTTTGAGCAATTTGACTAGAAAGAATGCTAAATTTGTTTGGAATAAAGATTGTGAAAGAAGTTTCCTCGAATTAGAGAATCGATTAGTGTCAGCTCCATTTCTTACCTTTCTATCTCTCGGTGAAGAGTTTGTGATATATAATGATGCTTCACGCCAGGGTCTTGGTTGTGTTTTGATGCAGACTAGGAAAGTTATAGTGTATGCTTCCAGGCAGTTGAAGAAACATGAACTGAGTTATCCTACACATGACTTAGAGCTAGCTGCAGTTATCCTAGCCTTTAAATTTTAGAGACATTACTTGTATGGCGAGAAATACCAGATATATATAGATCATAAAAGTTTAAAGTATATTTTCGACCAAAAAGAGTTAAACTTGAGGCAAAGAAGATGGTTAGAGCTAATAAAAGATTACGACTGCAAGATTGATTATCATCCAGGGAAGGCTAATGTAGCTGCTGATGCTCTCAGTCAGAAAATATCAAGTCCTATGACCCAGACTAATGCAGTATGTTCACTTTGTTTGGTGAGTTCAGAGCTTCACACGTCCAATTATTAGTTACCAATCTAGGAGCATTGTTTTCCAATTTTCAAGTGAGGCCTACTTTGATTAACACAGTTAGAGAAGCTCAAACTCAAGACCCATTATTGAGCAAAATGAAAGAAGAAGTTAGTAAAGGTAAGCATACAGATTATACCATTCGAGATAACAGAGCTTTAGTTATGGAAAACAGATTATGTGTTCCAGATGATTCGAAATTGAAAGTAGAAATTCTAGAAGAGGCACATAGTTCAGCTTACGCGATGCATCCAGGTAGTACAAAAATGTATCATGTACTCAAAGAACATTATTGGTGGCATGGAATGAAGAGAGAAATAGCTGAGTTTTTATCTAGAAGTCTCATTTGCCAGTAAAATCAGATCATCAGAAAACAGCAGGGTTGTTACAAACGTTGCCTATTCCTGAGTGAAAATGGGAACACATTACTATGGATTTTCTATTTGGACTTCCACGGACTCAGAGTGGACATGACGGCATATGGGTCATTGTAGACAGATTGACAAAAACTACCAAATTTTTGCCTATTAAAGTTACCTACTCGCTAGGTAAATTGGCAAAAATATATGTTAATGAGATAATCAGTTTGTATAGGGCACTAGTATCTATTGTTTCAGATAGAGATTCTCGTTTCATTTCTAAATTTTGGCCCAGTTTGCAGAAAGCTATGGGTACTAAACTTCATTTCAGTACAGCTTTTCATCCACAAACAAATGGTCAGGCAAAAAGAACTATTCAGACTTTGGAAGATATGTTACGAGCTTGTGTACTACAGTTCAAAAGGAATTGGGATACTCATATTCCTTTGATGGAGTTTGCTTACAATAACAGTTATCATTCGAGTATAGAAATAGCTCCTTTTGAAGCGTTGTATGATAGGAAATGCAGAACTCCAGTATGTTGGGATGAAGTTGGCAAAAGAAAGTTACTGGGTCCCGAATATATCCAGATTACTACTGAGAAAGTAAAGATAATTAAAGAAAAGTTAAAGACGGCCCAAGATAGGCAGAAGAACTATGCAGATAAACGTAGAAAAAACCTTGAATTTGATGTTGGGGATAGAGTTTTCCTGCGATTGTCGTCATGGAAAGGTGTTATCAGATTTGGTAAACAAGGTAAATTGAGTCCGAGGTATATTAGCCCATATGAGATTGTTGAGTGCATCGGTCTAGTTGCGTGTCGATTGGCTTTGTGAACAGAATTGTCCAGAATTCATGATCTATTTCATGTTTCTATGCTTCGTAAGTATATTCCAGATCCGTCTCATGTTTTGGAATCACGACCAGTAGAGCTGAAGGAAAATCTTACCTATGAAGAAGAACCAATTCAGATATTGGACAGGAAGGAACATGTCTTGCTTAGTAAGACTATTCCCTTGGTTAAAGTCTTATGGAGAAATCATGCTGTAGAAGAAGCGACATGGGAAAGTGAAGAGCAGATACATTCTCTATATCCACGACTTTATCATACTTGATCAACCGAATTTCGAGGACGAAATTCTTTTAAAGGGGTGAGTTTTGTAATACCTTAATTTAGTAAACAAATAAAAATAAACAATTAAAAGAAAACGACAGGCGGTATATATAACCCAATTCCACCCAAAACCAAATTAATAACATATAACATACACAACACACACACAAAAGGTACAGAGAAAGAGAGAAAGAGAAGAGAGAAAAGAGAGTGCTCTATACTATTAGACTTGAATTCCTCAATTTTGAAAGGTAAGTAAAAAGTTACTTGTTGTTAAGTTATGTCTAATTTTATAGTTGTTAGATTAAATTCAATTTTATTGAAGGAGTTAAGTGTAATAAACTATGAAATTGAGAAAAATGAAAGAAAATTAGTTTTAGTAATTAAAGAGACTTTAAAAATCACCTAAACGTAAAATAATTAAGTTTGGGTATCGCCTATTTAATTATTGAAATCACTTAAAATAGTTAATTATTGATTTAAAAATTATTTTATGTTTCAGGTGGCGATACGGACATCGGGACAATTTACCAATCGAGTTGATTTTGGTGTATATAGTTTTGTGAGTGAAAAAATATAAATATTTTTAAAGTATTTATAAATCAAGTCTATTATCAAAGTGTGTGCATTTATCTGCAATTATGTGTTCGATTATACGATTATTATGAAAATCTTTTTTATTATGATACATGTAGAATCTCAAAGATTATTTATAACACATTTATTGTTTGGTATGTGAGACATGTGATATTGAGATCGACCAGAAAAGTACCCATGATTATATATTTCTTCTAGTTCACATAGGGACCTTGGCCATGTTCTATCCTACACAGAGGGGTCTTGATCGTGTACATATAGTTCACAAAGGGGCATTGACCGTGTTCTAAAATTAATTATGAAAAGTCTTTGAGATCGACTTTCGTTCACGGAGTGGGCCAAAGGCCTGTGGCGAAAGTTCCTAACTCGAGGAGTGGATTATAGATTTCAGTCAGATGGTACATTTTTTGGTGGATTTTTCAGGATATTGGATATGATGAGATTATAGTACAGTTATCAGTTAATGTTTATGGCTTGAATTTGAGAGGATATTTTATGACGCTATGTGAATGTCTCACGTTTGGCTATGATTATATGATGTTATCTTGTGAATTATTCAGTGATATGAATTCGATTTTCGATAAAAATATAAAATAGAAAAAATATATTTATTTTTGAATTTCTCCACTCACTGAGCCATCAACTCATATATTTTTCCACATTTTTCTTATCAGGTAGCAGTTGAGTTTCTGAGTATCTTTTGTAGTTAAACCTTTGATTTTTGGAGCCAAAGCCACACGACAGAGGTTGTTACTATAACTCACTTTGTATAGCATGTAGTCAGTATTTTGGAACGCATATTCATGTCCAGATGTGATTTTGCATTACTTGTAAATGGTTAGAGGGCTCATTATGTATTTTGTATCTACATGTATATCTCATGTTATTTCTTGGCAAAAGTTGAGGTTTCGGCTTATCTTTATTGTGTTGTGCTATAGTTTGGGATTTATGTGAAATTGATCACGGGTTGGTTAATCCTATTTACAAGGGAGATAATGCCAAAATTTCGTTAGAAAAATGATGTATAAAAAGTGATATATTGTATTTGTAGTAGCCTTGATGGTGGATCCGACTTTTAGTTGGTATCTATTATCGGCGCATGCCACGTTCGGATCCAGTGGTGTTACATGGGGTGGTGTGTGTCATTGCTACAGTTGGTAGAGGCTTTAGGACGAATAGTGGTGGTCTTAAAGTGTTAAATTCGCGTGCCTCATAATTTAAGGGCTCAGATTGGTCCGCTCTGGTAGATTGGCTGAAACTTTTACATTATCGCACTATCAGATTATCGTGTGGGGTGATCATTAGGATTGAGAGTTGTCATTGCTTGGTAACCATTGCTTGTGCTAGAAAATTTAGGAATTATTTTCTCTATTTTGAAGTGTTGAACTTTGATTGCAAGTTGGTAGTTGATTTTGTGTTTTATCTGTCATATAGTCACTGTGTGAGACTTGTTGCTTGAAAAGTTGATTTATGTTTATATATCTTCGTGTTTGTATTAATTATCCCATTAGAATACCTGGACTTGACCCATTCAAACATTCCCTTGATCTAAGATCGTGAATCTTAGAAAACTCTAAGAATCTAAAACGGTGTATATTGCGACCTTAGGATTACTCTGTGAACTATTTGTGATTTGGTTGTTCTGTTTTTCTTAAAAATGTCTTCGCACTTTGAAATTGGAATTTTTAATGGAAAATGAGATTTTTCTATTTGGCAACAAAAGATGAAAGTATTTTGGTCCAACAAAAAGTTTCAAAAACCATAGATGACAAATTTTCTGTAAATTTAACAGAAGCACAAAAAGAAGAATATGATGAATTTGCATACACTTCAATTATTTCACATCTGTCTGACACTGTTTTGAGAAAAGTAGAAAAACTGGATTCTTCAAAATAACTTTGGAAAAAGTTGGATGAATTATATTTTTTTAAGTCTACTCCTAATAAACTGTACTTGTTTGAAAGATTTTTCAACTTTGAAATGGATCCTTCAAAGGATTTTGATGACAATCTAAATATCTTTAACAAGTTAGTTCAGGACATCGTTAATTGTGATGAAAAGGTATCAAACCTATAAGGCTATTATCTTGCTTAATTTCATGCCTGATTTTTATAGGGAAGTTAAGAACGCAATTAAATACGGTAGGGAAACCTTAACACTCGAGATTGTCATAAACTTACTTAAGAGTAAGGAGATGGAGATTAATGCTGAAAAAGAGGATAATGAGAGTGCCGAGTTACATATGTTGAGGAGTAGGATGAAGTTTAAGCAAATTAATTTGGGTAGAACTCAAGACGTAGTGATTCGAGTAGTGACTCGAGTGATGAGGGTAGTAAGAAAAAGGACAAGTCTAGTGGTAGAAGGTGTTACAATTTTGGTAAGTCTGTACCCTTTATTAGAGATTGTCCTAAAAAGAAAGATAAGCAAAAGGGTAATTTGAGAGGTGAAATGAATGTGGTTGAGGGGTCGAGTTATGACCTTAGTGAGGTTTATTGAAAATAAACATAGTTACTGCATATGCATCTGTGTGCGATCCTTTTTGCATGTGTGTGATTGTCTAAATTTTGTTGTATGATTATCTACTACATTTCAATGTTTGATATGTTCATTTGCATGAATTTGAGACAATAGGATTACTTTGTGTAATTGATTTCATGCATAGTAGGTTAGGATCCATTAGCAACGTGTTGTATGTCTTTTGGTGAGGTGGAGTGTAGATGCCTAGGAGTACATTGAGGTTTGTACCGGGGATGTGGAGTGTGACATTTGGATCATGAGTGATGTGATAAAATGTCTAGAATCATTTATCTATAAAGAGACCCTGATCAAGTGAAGTGTGGGAGAGGCACTTCTATCGCTTTTGTTAGGTGGAGACCCATTATCCACGTAGGTTGGGAGAAGTGATGAGGAGATAGAGGATTATCCCGTGGATTTAGGATCTATTGTGACCTACCAGTTAGACATGAGTTGGGTGATCCGTCTAGTGAGCTTGGTGGGCGATAAGAGGAGATACATGTTCTCGAGGTGTGAGCAACATGGAATGGGATATGATAAGTGTGGTGAGATCTTTTCGTAGGGTCATTTATGCATGCGTTACATATGTGATTGACCGTGGTTTGATTGACTCCAAGTTAATCTATGGTTCTATGCGAACGTATTTCTGAAAAGATCTATGTATGTTATCCTATAGTATATCGTCATCGCATGTGTATTTGCTCTTAATTGTTTACTGTTAAATATTTACTTCTACTTGGGTGTTTTTGACCTTAGCCCCAATGAGTACATGAAACAGGTAAAATATGTGTTTCGGGTTGGAAACACGAGGTAAGGTCTGTGATCTGATTTTATTGGCTACCTTGATTATGCAAATACTAACTATGTGTTTTGATAGCTTGCAGATTTATTGGGAATCAAGGTGGAGATTTGTTGGATTTTTGATATCCAATAAATCCCATGCTATGATGTTAACGTGAGTTAATATTATTTTATAGGCATAAGCCGATGAATGAAATAAGTCCAACAACCAAGTCTAGAACTACACCCAGCCCAATTACATTCCCTCTTGGATGGCTTGAATCTTGGCTCATTTACATTTTTAAAGGTCCAACTTAAAACTTAAGCCTAGAGTATATATATGGCTATAACCCTAGCCACTTTCTTGTGATGTTTTGTGTGGTTTTGTGAGAGAAATCAAGGAATCCCGGCTGCCCCCTTTGTGTGTGAAAAAAGGCCTCTATAAGTGTCTAAAACGCTTGTTTAACATGTGCAATTGGTGATTCCTTTATAGTATACCTTTGTGGTGTCTTCTCCTAGCCTTTGTGGTCACAAATTATCATCTTTTCTTGTCCTACGTGGACAAGATTGAATAACAACCAAGATGAATTAGATTGGTTGTGGTTTGAAGTCGATCGGATTGGTTGAGAAAGGTACGGTGGACTGAACCCAGAAATCAACGATTTGAAAATCTTTCAAGAAAGCTTCCACAACAGCTTTAATGGTAAAACTCACCACCTTAAATTATTCACGTCAGGATAAGAGTAAAGAACAAGAAGAAATATTTTTTCTTAACAAGCCAAACGGTAGAAATTCGTGTAAAAACAAGTAAATTCATTGTCTTCAAGGCTCACAATAGTGTGGCTGAAAAAGTTGAGACTTGGAACCCTCCAAGCATTGGCATTTTCCTAATTATTCTTCTAATCATCCTTACACCAAGCCTAATTTTCTGGCGTTCCAATGATCCTTTACCCAACTGCACACTTGCATATATAAATAAGAAAGAAGCTAAAATTAAAAGGAAAGAGGCCAAAAAGGTTGTTGAAGTTATGTTCTTTATTGATTTTAACAGCCTTATCTAATCCAAAACATGTCTGATATGAGAAGGAAAGTAAAATTTATGAATTTGGATAAAACCAACTTCGGATAATATAGTTGGCAAATTTATGCTTGGACCCATTAATAAACCTTTTTAGAAAAGGAATATCTACTGGTTTATCTTATAAAATAGTATTAGAATACTCATACTTCAAAGTTTAACCATCTGTTCATAAACTGCATATATTAACACCTTGGTGATGTGTTCACCTCAAAATATAAACTTATTGATGTATTAAACCACCATATGTTGTGATATTATACAAGAATCAATTGTAGACATCAAGATTCTTCAAAATAGAGAGTGAAATATGCTTCTACTTGATTATTAAGTGCCTTAAGGTAACATATAAAATGCTATGTGAATATTGACATGTTGATGTGAGTTATTTTAATATCCTGGAGTAAACTGAAAAAAATATAAGGATGACTCGCTTACAATGTATCGTGTTTCCATGTAATTTGTACAATGTGATTTTCAAAAGAATATATTGAAATGAGTATGAGAAAAACGATGTTGAATTTTATTTGTTAATAACAATGTTTAAGAGCAAATCATGTATAAATCCATTGATAAAATTATTATATGTTACGATCATTCATTAGTACAAAAAATGGTCATTGGTTGTATACAAGGTCGAATGGGCCACTGCAGGAGAATGCATAATGAAGGAGCTATTCAATGAATAGGTGGGAGCTCGACCTTAAGTAATTGTAGCTGTGAAATCAGTATTGAAATTCAACTTTTGCCAGTGGCAAAATAGAGAAATTACCTAGAGACTAGTCGAGAGAATGCAACCACGTATTGGCCAATATTATGGTATGTTACTTGCCACTTTATTGACTTTGAGCTCAAGTATACCACAATGACTCTGTACAAGCCAAAAGAAAATGAAGATAAAAATCATTCATATCATTTCATGCATCATTTCCACACTTGCATATTTCACTTATGTGTTGTTGATAAACTTATTCTCCAATTTATTTTCCTTTACAGATCAACACGACTATAGTTATGTGGAGTACTTCGAGGATAGCTGGGTGATGACTCGAGATGTACCTGGAATTTTATTGGACTGTTTGTATGGACACACGGTCTTATAACATTGATGAAATTCACCTTCTTACGTTGGAGTTATTATAATATATTAGTGTTAGCTACTGCACCACGACTTTTAATATAATTTCAGTTGACCTGTGTGTCATCTATGTAAAAGACAGCCACCAGTAGTAGATGAAGAAGTAAGAGAGAACCTTTAATCACTGTCTCTTTTGTTAAATACCAGTAGGAATAGGTAGTGGAGCAGCCATATTCTCCCTTTTGCTCTTTTGATTTGGAAAGGAAGAAGGTGTTGGTTGTTGTAACCTATGTTAAGGAAAAATATATGTAATGAACAAATAATCTTCACATGTTTCTACTATAACTTATGCATGGGATGCAGTAATCATTTTGTATTGTCATAGAACATATATCTAATGTTTAATGGAAACGACGACATTATTTCAAGTCCATTAACTCTTTCAAAACAGGCATACCAACGGGGAAACAATATTTAAAATCAAACAACATGCAGTTGAGAACATAAAATTTTTGCATAATTACAAATTTCTTTTGGTGCAAGATTGGGAAAAAAAATTTAATTTAGCACAATAAATTGCATGTATACTTTGTCTTGTGAATTACAATAAAAATATAGCACACAACGGAGATTATTCTATCTGCATGGTGAAATTGATTCAATTATACTATGATAAGTCAACATATCACTGCTTCTGCTTACCCTTGACACAAAGCTGAAATAGTTGCTCTGATGTTTCATTTATGGCTACATCTTCTTCATCTTTCATCTTATTTCTCAATTCGTTAGCCTTCGACCTCATGCCTTCTCCTGTCTTCTCCACAATCACCTTATGTATTGAGTTTGCCAAGCCTTCTCTCTTGAATTGACCACTGTCATCTCTTGGAACCTCTACACCGACACCAGCCTCGACCACCAGCCTAGCATGTAGAGGCTGATCATATTTCAAAGGCGTGGCTATTACAGGTACACCAAAATAAATACTTTCCATTATAGAATTCCATCCACAATGACTCAAGAAACACCGGTACTTGGATGTGCCAAAATTTTAGCCTGTGGAGCCCATCTCTGCACAATCATACCCCTCCCTTGCACCCTTTCAAGAAATTCCTCTGGTGGTGGTGCTTCATTTATACCAATCGCCTCTCCTACAGGTAATCTAATTACCCATATGAAGTTAACACCACAAATATCTAAGCCTTCTCCCAGCTCCTCAATCTGCTCCATGGACAAGAAGTTTTCACTACCGAAAGAGATAAACAAAGTTGAGAACTTATCTTTCTTGCTTAGCCACTGCATGATCCCTGAATAATCTTCTTCACTGTCAGGTTGCGTAACAAGTGGTCCAACAGCTATCATTTTTCTCTGTCACAAGAAAGATAATAAGTTAAGATACTTCCCCTCAATTCCCCAGCAGCTCTTCATCAAAACAATTTCACAAGATCGTTTGAAGCTACCAAAAGGAAAGTCTTCACCTGAATCTTCAATATTGAGTAGAACGTCTATAGTCATTCTTTCGTAATCCCGTAGATAGATTGCCTGATAAGGGAAAGTATCATTCCCATAAGTAGTGGAATGTTGGTAAAAAGAATTTGCCGCTGCTCCTGAAGTGGCAAAATAAACTGCAGGAATACCTGGTGATGAAGCAAGTGTGGCAGCCCATGGTTGGAATAAATCATATATGACCAAGTCAGGCATTATGGTTTTGATGACCTCTGCAAAGCTGGAGCGTGACAATTGGAAAGCCTCATGGAGCTTCGGCATAAGATCTGGAGGCACGTTTCTGGTTGTTTGGTAACTGGGAGGAAGTTCAGGCCATGAGGGTAAATGGAGTTCGACTAGTTGTACTGAGAAATCGCCGGAGTTATTTTCAGTGGATTTACTGATTGAAGTTAGATTGATTGCTGTAGAACAGAGATACATGTGGAAGTTTTTCTGTGATAGTTTCTTGGCTAGCTCAAGACGGGAATATATGACCATGAGCCAACCATAGGAACATAAGAATTTTGCTTTGATACTCTCCACCTGTAGAAATCTATCTATAGAATAAGAGGTGCTTTAATGATAAAACTCACCACCTTAAAGAATCCACACAAGGATAAGAGTAAAGAACAAGAAGAAATATCTTTTCTCAACAAGCCAAATATTCATATAAAAACACAATCATATTCATTGTCTTCAAGGCTCCCAACAGTGCGGCTTAAATATTTCACACTTGGAACAACCCTCCAAGTATAGGCATTTTCCTAATTATTCTTCTACCACTTTCAAAATCAAATTAAACAAATGAATTGTAAGTGATAAATTCGTGCATAATGACCTGATAAACAATTGAACTTCTTTGGAACTCTCTTAGAAGATTTAAAACAAAAACTTCTTCAATTTGAGAGTAGAATAGGTCGTTGACCGGTCATAAGAATAACAATTTCTATAGGATTGTCAAAATTGAGATCCGCAAAGTGCTTTGGAATCTTAACTTGATAACATTTCCAATGGTATCTTATTGCGTAGAAAATATATTTGCATCATTCCCAGAGATCACTTGAAATTGATCAAAATTCTGCACCTTGGAAATAGTTAGTACTTTGATGAGAGAAATATGAGTTCTGTTTTTCAATGGAAAATGCTAGAGGAACATAGCAGTTGACATAATGGAGGACAGAGTGATGTGGAAAATAAGGAATAAAGGAAAAAACGAAAAGAAATTATTGTAATTCCATGTCACTGCTCTCATTTTCATTATAATTCTGTGTCACTATTCTTCATTTTGTATACTGGAAGTGGTATTAACATTGTAATTGGGCTTTTGTTGCAAGTAAAGGAAATTTCAAAGTTGGGGATGAAACTATGTTTGTGGATTTCGATAATGAGAATGTTATGGACAATATCAAGTTACCGGGTGAGGGAATGTTAGGAGGAGGGGGTGCAATTGTGAGGGAATGTTATGGATATATGATTTCGTATTCAATCCTACTGATATTTTCCGAAAATAATATATGTCTGTTGTAATATGTATATTGTATTTTCCGAAAATATCTCTATAAAAACTGATATTTTGCATCTCTACGTTCTAGAAGACAAGAATAGGCTGACATTTCAATTTTTTATTTTTATTTTTAAAATATTACAAGGGCCCGATAGTTAACTGCCAAATTTGAAAACATAATATTTTATATTGTGGCAAAGAAAATAAATTCATGGAAGAAAAATAAAATATGTAGTACCAAACCCTTTGTTGAGCCCCTTTTGTCTCCATACCCAACCATTTTCTTAGGAGGAGTTAGAATTACAGGGGTCTTACTGATCCCTCACAAAGGTGGGGTCGATTTTTTTTATTTTTATTTTTTTCCATTTTTTATGATGTTGGGGCCGCGTGATCCCATGTGAGGGGTCGGTAAGACCCATGTAAAACAAAGCCTTGTCTATATTATTTGGCCTGTCCAATAAAAATGTACTAAAATATACCCTTTATTTCTCTGAGCTGAGATGTTCAAGAAAATTGCACAATATCATGATTCTTCGTACAAATCTGCCATAGCTGATCCGCTGCTTCATTTATGGCTTCTTCTTCCTCCATTTTCATTTTCTGGCTCAATTCCATAGCTTTAGTCCTTAAACTTTCCCCACTACTCTTCTCCAAAACCGCCGCTTTTATAGCCTTTGCCACCTCTTCCGCCCTAAACCGTCCGTCGTCATCTCTCACGACCTCGACAGCTGCACCAGCCTCGACCACCATTCTAGCATTTATAGGCTGATCAAGTTTCAAAGGCATGGCTATTAGTGGAACCCCAGAATAAATGGTTTCAATGACAGAACTCCACCCACAGTGGCTCATAAAACCACCAATACTTGAATGTGCCAAGATTTCTGCCTGTGGAGCCCATCCCTGCAGAATTTTCCCCCGCTCTTTCACCCTTTCAAGGAATCCCTCCGGCAAGAATTCGTCAACTCTTACTTCATTTCCAGCAGGAAATCTAATAACCCATATAAAGTTTACATTGATTAACTCTAACCCTACTGCAATTTCTTCCATCTGCTCCTTGGACAAGTAATTTTCACTGCCAAAGGAAATGTACACAGTAGAAAACTGATCTTTTGTACTCAGCCATTTCTTGATTTCTGAATTTTCCTCTTCGTTTTTAGTATCTGTAACAAGAGGGCCTACAGGAACTATTTTTCTGTGGCACAAGATCGAGAGATAATCAATGTATTTTTCCTCTATTCCTTTACAGGTCTTGACCAAAACAATGTCACGAGATTGTTTGAATATCCCAAATGCAAAACCTTCGTCTGCATCTTTAACTTTTATTGATTCTCCTAGAGCTTTCAGATCCTTTCGTTCGTAATCCCGAGAATATATTGCAGGATAAGGGAAATTAGTAGCATTCCCATGTGTATGAATATGATGAAAAAATGAAAACTGTGTTGCTCCAGAAATAGAAAAGAGAACGGCAGGAACACCTGTTGAAACATGATTTAAATAAATAAATTCATCCCTCAGGGATTTAACGCGATAATATAGGAGACATAAGTTCGGAATTTAAGTCTTGAAATTTAAGAGTTGCCGTCACTTGTGAGGCTTTTGATAGAAAAATATATTGATGAAGTTTTTAATAAAAAATTTTAACAGATTTTAGTAACGTTGGATCCCATAAAGTGTGGCTAAAATTGAAGTTTGACCCTTTAAATAAATTGATAAATTAATTTCTTTTATCAAACAATCACTAAATGTCATGTGTTCTTGAGCTAACATAACTAAATAATTAAAATTTGTGCTCTTATGTTAATCCTTTAGGGGATGTGGTTCATGAGCAATATAGGTCCTCAGTCAGTTTTATTGTCCACCATTTATGAAAATTGTGAATACATCAAGCATTTGATGAGAATAAGTAAATATGTCATTCATGCACACGAGGGAACACGTTGAAGACATGATTTAAATAAATTTTTCTTTCCCATAGCTTCGTAAATTTTATATTAAGTGATTTAACATTTATATTATCATAAATAAGTTCTAAATTTAAATCTGCCATCGTCTATTTATGAAAATTGTACATGTACCATTTGATGAAAAATTTAATCTTTATGTAGACATGATTTAACTTTATCCCAAACTGCTTTAAGTTTTGGAGAGGGAGACTAAACCTAGTTATGATTGGCATACAGGTAGGAACGACACCTCACATGGGGATTGGTGGGTAAATTTTTTTTATATTATTTATTCATGTGGGTCATACTTTGTGAAATTTCTGTGAACATTCTTTAAATTAATTTTATGTACACCAATCATTTATTGCCTATACCTGCCCCCCAAGCCCAATCTCTTTTGTAGGATATGAAAATGAAATTAATGGATACTTTTTTTCCAATGGATTTTTTTTTTTTTTTTTAATACTGGACTCATACAGTATTTGAAAAAAAAAAAAAAAAAAAAGAAGGTTTTTTCACCTGCTCCGCCCTGGTTTTAGATGAACCTACCTTGTGATGAAGCAAGTCTGGCAGCCCAGGGCTGGAACCCGTCGTATATCAGCAAGTCAGGCTTCAAGTTGCTGATGATGCTGGAGAAGCTTGAACTTGACATCTGAAAAGCCTGCATAAGTGTTGGCATAAGATCTGGTGGGACATTTTTGGTTGTATGATATTGTGGAGGAAGTTCAGGTAGTGAAGGTAAATGGAGTTCTACAAATTCTACTGACAAATCAGATAATTTTTTCTGCAAACTGTTCTTGATTGAATCAATATTGATGGGTGTGGTACAAAAGCTTATTGTGAAGTTTTTCTTTGAGAGTAATTTCTTTGATAATTCAAGAAAGGGGAAAATATGTCCATGAGCTAACCATGGGAACATAAGAATTCTGAAACTTGTCTGTTTTGACTCCATGAATGAAACCCTCCTCTCAAGAACTCAAAGAAAATGGAGAGGTCAAGACAGAAATGAATTGGAATAGACGGTGGCCAATTTTTTTATTTTAGTCCGTGAACTACACTGAATAGCATTCAACGTAAGTACAGAATATAATATGTATATGTGTGGTGTATTTTCGAATTAATTGTTTCAATGGTTATCGAATTTAGGTTCATGTGTTTGATTGGTCACTGAAGTTTAAAATATAGAGTTTTGATCACTGAACTTAAGTCCAAATCTTTGATTGCTTACTAAAATTTAAAATGTTGAGTTTTAATCACTAACTTTGGAAAATGCTATACATTACCTACTAGCATAAATGTTAAATTTTAAAAAATATCGAGTTTACAGTGAGTAATGTACGACATTTTTCAAAATTCAGTGATCAAAACTCGACATTTTACACTTTAGTTAGCAATCGAATGCATGGACCTAAGTTCAGTGACTAAAACTCGATATTTTAAATTTAAGTGATCAATCAAATATATAAACATAAGTTCAATGACAATTGGAACAATTAACTCTGTATTTTCCAAAAATATCACTGTTAAAGGCTGATATTTTCTATATTTGGGTTCTAGAAGACAAGAATAGGCTGATATTTCAATTTTTTTTTTTTTTAATATTTAAAATATTACATGGGCCGGATAGTTAACTGCCAAGTTTGAATTCCACAGCCAGCGCACAATCGAAGGAGGTTAGTCCATGGGTTGGATTTACCCAATCTCCAGCTTGTAATTGAACAGACTTAGCGAGTTTAAACTGACTCATTTAGTTGACACATCAAGGAAAACAATTCTTGATATTGTTGCTATCAAAAACATAATATTTTATTCATGAATGAAAAATCAAATATATAGTACCAAATCCTTTGTTGAGCCTCTTTTGTCTCCATAGCCAACCATTTTCATAGGAAGTGTTAGAATGTGCTGTATATATTGTTTGATCTGTCCAATAAAAATGTACTAAAATATACCCTTTATTTATCTGAACTGTATTGTTCAAGAAAATTGCACAATATCGGGATTTTTCATACAAATCTGCCATAGCTGATCTGCTGCTTCATTTATGGCTGCTTCTTCCTCCATTTTCATTTTCTGGCTCAATTCCATAGCTTTAGTCCTTAAACCTTCCCCACTACTCTTCTCCAAAACAGCCGTCTTTACAGCCTTGGCCACCTCTTCTGCCCTAAACCGCCCGTCGTCATCTCTCATGACCTCGACAGCTGCACCAGCCTCGACCACCATTCTAGCATTTATAGGCTGATCGAGTTTCAAAGGCATGGCTATTAGTGGAACCCCAAAATAAATGGTTTCAATGACAGAACTCCACCCACAATGGCTCATAAAACCGCCAATACTTGAATGTGACAAGATTTCTGCCTGTGGTGCCCATCCCTGCAGAATTTTCCCCCTCTCTTTCGCCCTTTCAAGGAATCCCTCCGGCAAGTATTCGTCGACTCTTATGTCATTTCCAGCAGGAAATCTAACAACCCATATAAAGTTTACATTGATTAACTCTAACCCTACTGCTATTTCTTCCATCTGTTCCTTGGACAAGTAATTTTCACTGCCAAAGGAAATATACACAGTAGAAAACTGATCTTTTGTACTCAGCCATTTCTTGATTTCTGAATTTTCCTCTTCGTTTTTAGTATCTGTAACAAGAGGGCCTACAGGAACTATTTTTCTGTGGCACAAGATTGAAAGATAATCAATGTATTTTTCCTCTATTCCTTTACAGGTCTTGACCAAAACAATGTCACGAGATTGTTTGAATATCCCAAATGCAAAACCTTCATCTGCATCTTTAACTTTTATTGATTCTCCTTGAGCTTTCAGATCCTTTAGTTCGTAATCCCAAGAATATATTGCAGGATAAGGGAAATTAGTAGCATTCCCATATGTATGCATATGATGGAAAAATGATAACTGTGTTGCTCCAGAAATAGAAAAGAGAACGGCAGGAATACCTGTTGAAACATGATTTAAACAACTTTGTATATATCCTCTCTAATTTAATCTCTCAGAAGAAATCGTTCAATGTGGAATTGAATCATACGTATCAATTCTAAAACTCTCTATAATCTTGATGAGATGGTTTTCAACATAGTGACAAAAAGTCTTGGCACTAAATTTCTTGAACCAAGCACGCGTCAAGCTTCTAACGAGAAAATGAATATGAAATGCATATAAGGGATGTGTTTATGAACATGATTTAAATTGTCTTTTCCATGATATTGTAAACTTTAACCTGGGGTAAATTAACATAATATCATAAATAAATTCCGAGTTCAAATCTACGGCCACTTATTTATGAAAATTGTACTAGAATCATTTGATGAAAAATGAATCTAGTACAAGTGAGGTGACATATGTTAGACATGATTTAACTTTATTCCTAACTGCTATAAGTTTTAGACGAACGTACCTTGTGATGAAGCAAGTTTGGGAGCCCAGGGTTGGAACCCATCATATATCAGTAAGTCAGGCTTCAAGTTGCTGATGATGCTGGAGAAGCTTGAACTTGACAACTGAAAAGCCTGCATAAGGGTTGGCATAAGATTTGGTGGGACATTTTTGGTTGTGTGATATTGTGGTGGAAGTTCAGGCAGTGATGGTAAATGAAGTTCAACAAATTCTATTGAAAAATCTGATAAATCTTTCTGCAAACTGTTCTTCATTGAATCAATATTGACGGGTGTCGAACAAAAGTATATTTTGAAATTTTTCTTCGAAAGTAATTTCTTGGATAATTCAAGAAAAGGAAAAATATGTCCATGTGCTAACCATGGGAACATAAGAATTCTGAAACTTCTTTGGTTTGTCTCCATGAATGAAACCTTTATCTCTTGCTATTTGATTACAATAATGGAAGCTGAAGGGGAGACTCTCAAGGTGAAAATGGCTTAGGTGTGAAGACAAACAAATTGATAATATAAATAACAGAATTGGAAGCCGGCAAATTTATCCCTTGGACAGTTGGGCTACAATGCAATGTGCATGTATAGGTTATATCGTGGTTAAAGAATAATCCATACTTCTAATATCAAATCAGCATCGAGCTCCCAATTTATGAATTTTTAAATTAAAAGAAGATTTATCTAACTCTGTCAAATTTGATAGATTGCACGGATTTGAAACCTTAATCATTCACACCTTAAACATCAAACCCGTGTAGAGCTTGTGAAAATTCCTATCCAGAATGGACCATGTTGTGCCCAGCTCTAAGGGGAAAGTCACCCAAGAGAAAGAACCTTGAGCTATCTATTCAACTCTGACTATAGGTAGCATGGGCAGTAGGCCTAAGGTCCCGATAACTAAGGACCTCCATAATATTAATGCTTTTAATTTATATATAGATAAACTCAGAAAGTTTGTGGGTTGAACCATTTAATCTAAAAGTTTAAACTATTATATAGTGCATGCTCTCTATATATCATTTAAATAATATCTACAACACGTACTGTCATGTTTAAATTAGATTCATTTTTCCATTAAAGTCTTACTCTGCATATGTTTGCAAAAGTTTCGAATGGTGGACCAAATATAGAAGGTTTGAGATCCCAATGCACTTTTGTGAAAGAATTGGGACCACATCTAAAAAAAAATTCTATCTTATATCTAATTGTTATTTTGCTTTCTAATATATTAAGAAAATCTAACTTTTTGCAAGTGTGACAGTCATGTTCCCAACATTCCATTGATGACCCTAGTTTAAAGTGTGCATGGTATCTCGTTTAATATGTAAATAGATGTCTCGGCCATGTGAGTATGGTGTTAAAAGATTGAAGACATGAGTGCCACAAATAAAAGATTCAGCAATGGGTTATATTAATGAAGGTTCTTTGTTGTACGTTAGAATCATTAATGCGTTTGTTTTCATGTGCTTTGTATTATTTTCGTTTAGCTTTTGGATTACATTTTTTATGAAGAGATGTCAACTAACCTCTGGTTGATGCATGGCTACCTAACAACGTTGACAAAATGCCCAACTACCACATAAACGTGCTCCTCCACAAAGAAGTAATCTCATTTTGCTACTAAGAACAATAAGGCATTGTAGAAAACTCATTTGTAAAATACAAAAATATCAACATAATGGTGCTCCACAATTTATCCGCACAAATATTTATAGAGGTTCGGCGTTTAAAATGTTCTCTAAGTGATGAAGATTTTCTTCCAACGTCCGGCAACTAATCGTCCAGGTGCCGTTTTATTTTCGGGCAAAATTTCCTCTTCACGTAAGAGACGGGGAGAGGAAAGGATTTTAAATTTGGGGTCGAAGTTAATATATAGTGATGAAAGGGTTTGCTTTATCGGGGTAAATTATTCCAATTCCTTAAATTTTGTTGAGTGGAAAGAGAGTAAACAAATAAAACTTGAAATGGAGAGAGCAAGATCAAATGGGAGAAAAATACATAAACATCAAGATCAAAGAACAAAAGCTAGGGATTAAAGACTTTTGAGGTTGAAAAAGATTCTTGATACAAGATTCAATTCTTTCTATGATCAAGATTTCAAATGCCGGTTATGAACTTTATATCTTTTATTTTTCTTCCATCATCCTGAGTAGCTAAATTTATTACATGGAACGAAGACAATTGCTCGAGTGCTAGGATCCCAATTGATCTATCAAAACCCTCTCGATCTTATCTTATTCAATACAAACAAGCACAAAGAAGTCGATCAAAAGAAGGCGACCAACCGAGACTCTATTGTAATTTGAAAAGATTACAGCATATTTAAGTTCCCTTTTTTTTCCCCTTCTAATTTGGCCGGCATCCATAGATTCAAAGATTTGGACATTTTTTCAGAAATCCAAAAATGTTTATTTATTCCAATATCCTCAAGTTGAATTCCATAATATGAGAAACGATTGTATTGAACAAAGACCAAAATAGCCGTTCCTATTTTATTATAACACTGGTCGTTGACGCGTGCGTTGCACGAATGTTGTATTTATTGTGTTTTTATTAATGTAAAAATTGTAGATAAACCCTTGGAATTAGAGGAAGATTTTGGATGGTAATTGAAGATGATATTGTAAGCTTTTCAACGGTATCAAAATTCGGCGGTATCGATGGTTGGAAGTGACCAAAAAGTTGCCGCAAAAATAGCTCAAAAAATTGAAAAAATATTTTTGAACTTCAATGACCGTTTCTGAAAGTTTTTAAACTTTAGTGACCGTTTTTTAAAGTGTCCCAAAACTTAAGTAACCATTACTGAAAGTTTTAAACTGCAGTAACCGTTTTGTAACTTTCTCCTAAGATCAATGACCGTTTGTGAAATTAACCCTTTAAACTAGTAAATAAGTGAGAACTATGAAATTAATTATTTTCTAATTGCTATATCATGATTCTTTTAAAAAAATTTCAAACAACAAATCTGTACTTAGTGAAGAATTAAATGAGTCAGCAAACCAATCACGAGAGTGTGCTTGCAAACTAAAATGCTCTCCGCATAGCATGGAGAGTTCGCTTGAACTCTTACATTGTGTGCGAAGATTCAGCTTCAAATACTATTTAGTTATTTATTTTTTTAGTTTACCATATTTTTTCAATTGAAGTATTTAACTATGTACTTATTTGACTAACCACCTTGAAGATAACATCAATGAGCTAAAATAGCAATATAATCACAAACAAGAAATATATGTTATTTACCTTTCAACAACAGAAAATAAAAAACCAAACATCATTAAAAATTCAAAATCAAAACTCGCCAACTTTTAGAGAAAAAAAAATGGGGTTGAAAATTTTAGAATAGAAGAAATATAAATAGATATTGCGTGAAGAAGTAGGAAAATGCTAGCTCCAAAAAAAAAAAATGCTCTCCCCGCTTGAACTCTCCGCACACTGTGAGAGTTCAATGCAATGTGGAACTCTCACAGTGTGCGGAGAGTTCAAGCGGGGAGAGCATTTTTTTTTTTTTTTGCCTAAAAAAGTAAGAAAAATGTTAGCTTCAAAAAAACATAAATAAATAAAATAAAATGCTCTCCACACAATGCGGAGGGTTGGCCTGAATGCGGAACTCTGCACCTTGTGATTGTAAGCTTCTTAAAGAAGATATACCTCTTAATTCTATTCACTCTTGCAGCCTTGATTATGTTAAAAATTTACTTATATAAAAGTAAAATAAATAATCAAAATAAACATGTTGCACAAACGTATAAAAATAAACAACGAGACCTATAATGGATCCTGATATGGTGGCAAGAACAACATTGGAAAGAATAAACCACCTAAAAAATGACAAAAATATCACTACTTGGACTCTTAAAACTGGTTATTGTAATTTAAAATGAACAAGCGAGTTAATATCTAATCCTCACCATTGAATCATTTTCTCAAAAGTAAATACTTGTCCAAGTTGAGATGAGAAAATTTCGAACATAGGAGCAGAAAACTAGCTGCATCAAATGAAATTAATTTTTTTATCAGACTCTACACTAAGGGATTATGAAATAAAGTTAAACATAGCATCTTGACATCCAAATACGCATAACAATAATAAAAAACGAACTAAGCCCTATTTGGTTAGGTTAAAAAAGTAGATTAAAATCTCTGAGTTTTCCACTCATCTGTACTAAAACTGGCATTCCTAACACAATTTCGTCGATTTTCCTCTCCAAACTAGTTGGAGAGTTTGGAACTCAGTTTGAATTCGAACTCTTCAAATAGTTTGGAGAGCTCTATTAAAAGTTTGGAGAGTTCAATACTAATGAATTTAAAAAATAAATAAATAAATAAATCTATGTCTCTCCAAACTCTCCAAACAGCTTGGAGGGTTTGGAGCTCTCTAAACTATTTGGAGAGGTTGATACTAATGGATTAAAAAAATTAAAAAAAAAAATCTCTATCTCTCCAAACTGTTTGGAGAGTTTGATACTAATGGATTATTAAAAAAATAAAAAATAAAAATTGTGTGCCTCTCCAAGTTGTTTTGGAGAGTTTGGAGAGTGGAGCGTGTGCGGAGTTACTCTGTACTGTGCGAAACAACTCCACACTTTGTGTGTGCACAATTCGCAGCAAATTTTTTATTTATTTATTTTTTTTTTTGCTAGCATCTACAATAAAAGTAGCAAAACTAAATGCTCGATTTGAACTGTTCGAAAAGTTTGTCCAAACTCTCCTAACAATTTGAAGAGTTCGAGACTTTGACCAATCTCTCCAAACCATTCGAAGAGTTTGGAGAATTCTCCAAACTGTTTGGAGAGTTTAGAGAAACTCTCCAAACTGTTCGAAGAGTCTCGGAAAGTCTTGAAAATTTTGACCAAACTCTTCAAACTGTTTGGACTTTGGAGCCAAACTTTGGAGAGCTTGGAGAACATAATATTTTTTTTCTTTTTTTAATACGATAGAGAGTTTGTCCAAACTCTTCAGAGAGTTTAGAGAACATCATATTACTATTATTTTTACAATAGACTCTCCAAACTCTCTGAAGAGTTTGGAAAAGATCGTAACATTTTTTTTTTTTTTTTTTACCATAAACTCATTTTGAAAATAGTGAAAGCCAAACTCTCCGTAAAGTTTGGCTTAGAAATATCATCTGGGAATTTACCGATGCATTATTTGAAGAGAATTTGCAATAGTTAAAAAATAAGGAGAGTTCAAAACACCAAGAGATGACAACGTGAAATTTTGTCATAAAGCCACAACTTAAAGTTCATTTCTAGTAAAAGAAGGCTTCCTAAATTTCTTTGCAACTCATACTCCAAACAATTTATAACTACAATAACAAAATGATATCCAAAACATCTATCTCAATTCTATTCACTCTTGCAGCCTTGATTATGTTAAAAATTTACTTATATAAAAGTAAAATAAATAATCAAAATAAACATGTTGCACAAACGTATAAAAATAAACAACGAGACCTATAATGGATCCTGATATGGTGGCAAGAACAACATTGGAAAGAATAAACCACCTAAAAAATGACAAAAATATCACTACTTGGACTCTTAAAACTGGTTATTGTAATTTAAAATGAACAAGCGAGTTAATATCTAATCCTCACCATTGAATCATTTTCTCAAAAGTAATTGCTTGTCCAAGTTGAGATGAGAGAATTTCGAACATGGGAGTAGAAAACCAGATGCATCAAATGAAATTAATTTTTTTATCAGACTCTACACTAAGGGATTATGAAATAAAGTTAAACATAGCATCTTGACATCCAAATACGCATAACAATAATAAACAACGAACTAAGCCCTATTTGGTTAGGTTAAAAAAGTAGATTAAAATCTCTGAGTTTTCCACTCATCTGTACTAAAACTGGCATTCCTAACACAATTTCGTCGATTTTCCTCTCCAAACTAGTTGGAGAGTTTGGAACTCAGTTTGAATTCGAACTCTTCAAATAGTTTGGAGAGCTCTATTAAAAGTTTGGAGAGTTCAATACTAATGAATTTAAAAAATAAATAAATAAATAAATCTATGTCTCTCCAAACTCTCCAAACAGCTTGGAGGGTTTGGAGCTCTCTAAACTATTTGGAGAGGTTGATACTAATGGATTAAAAAAATTAAAAAAAAATCTCTATCTCTCCAAACTGTTTGGAGAGTTTGATACTAATGGATTATTAAAAAAATAAAAAATAAAAATTGTGTGCCTCTCCAAGTTGTTTTGGAGAGTTTGGAGAGTGGAGCGTGTGCGGAGTTACTCTGTACTGTGCGAAACAACTCCACACTTTGTGTGTGCACAATTCGCAGCAAATTTTTTATTTATTTATTTTTTTTTTTGCTAGCATCTACAATAAAAGTAGCAAAACTAAATGCTCGATTTGAACTGTTCGAAAAGTTTGTCCAAACTCTCCTAACAATTTGAAGAGTTCGAGACTTTGACCAATCTCTCCAAACCATTCGAAGAGTTTGGAGAATTCTCCAAACTGTTTGGAGAGTTTAGAGAAACTCTCCAAACTGTTCGAAGAGTCTCGGAAAGTCTTGAAAATTTTGACCAAACTCTTCAAACTGTTTGGACTTTGGAGCCAAACTTTGGAGAGCTTGGAGAACATAATATTTTTTTTCTTTTTTTAATACGATAGAGAGTTTGTCCAAACTCTTCAGAGAGTTTAGAGAACATCATATTACTATTATTTTTACAATAGACTCTCCAAACTCTCTGAAGAGTTTGGAAAAGATCGTAACATTTTTTTTTTTTTTTTTTACCATAAACTCATTTTGAAAATAGTGAAAGCCAAACTCTCCGTAAAGTTTGGCTTAGAAATATCATCTGGGAATTTACCGATGCATTATTTGAAGAGAATTTGCAATAGTTAAAAAATAAGGAGAGTTCAAAACACCAAGAGATGACAACGTGAAATTTTGTCATAAAGCCACAACTTAAAGTTCATTTCTAGTAAAAGAAGGCTTCCTAAATTTCTTTGCAACTCATACTCCAAACAATTTATAACTACAATAACAAAATGATATCCAAAACATCTATCTCAATTAGTAATTTTTTATAAAAGAAGACATGAAATAAATAAATGAATAGAGAACAGAATCACTTACCACTGCACAAGTCAAGCCCAAGCAAACAATACTTCATCGGATGCTTCTGGTAACAGTAATAAATGCACAAAACTGCCATTACAACAAAAAAATTAACAAATAAAACCAATCAAATCCATAAATCGGAAACCCACTTTGAATATTTGAAACAATCTACAAAAGAAATAATATTCATATAGAGCAATAATTAGAAAAATATTTGAGGGTATAAATATGAAAACGTGACCAAATCGCATCCAGGTGAAAGAGTGCCGATCCAAACTGCAAAAGAATGAAGAATGGTGGTGTAGTCATTGTTTGATTTTCTCGATGGTTTTCTTTCACCTCCATCAAATCAAGTCAAAAGAAAAGCAGAGGAATGGTCATTGGAGGAAAAAAATGGAAACGGTATGATATTAGGTATGCTATCAACCGAAAACAATAAAAAAGAGAAGCGTACAAAAAATGACACAATTTTCTTCTCTTGCACAGTAAGTTCGGATTAGTTTACTGTTCATTTAACAGTAGCACCTTGTTCCCATTTTTAAGAGAAGTTAGATAAACGATATTGTTCCTCTTCTCCGGTCATCAAAAAATGTTACAACACTGTTGGAAATATTAACTACAAGGCCTTGAGAAATTCCCACGAGCAAGATGAGATAACGGCTCATGAACTCTATGAAATAAAACAAAATTAAAGCAAAATTTCATTGACAAGATTCAAAAATAGGAAACGGAAAGATGAATATTTGAATAGTATTACGCTAATAGGCCTCAAAGCTCGACAAATAATTGACAGTTCGTCAAGTGTTTTTAATGCTTCAAAGGAATCCTGCAGCCAGAAACATTCCAACGTGCAAAACAAGTGAGGAACTGATTTCAAGAGAAAACAGCTTCTTTCCCTGTCAAGTTCTTCATATTAACATTCGCATCCACACCCAAGCTCGATAATGCATTGATCATAGCAGGAATATCATTTTGTAATGCAGCAGCCAATGCCTGAACAAGACAACAAAAGGAAAAATTATGCAGCAATCTTCGCCAAAGTACTCCAAATAAATAAATATGTAATCCTTGACTAATGCAAGCAGAATGCTAGACTAATTCACAAGGTACAAAGGCCAGTGAAAGCACATAACTCGCTAGTTTTATATTTTTATCCTATGCCATAGTGTAAGCATAAGACAATTATGTGATATATATATCTTAAAAATGAATGTCATAATACACCAGATAATGAACAAGAAGAGAAAACGTAATCAGAATCTTGTTCAGCTCAATTTGATCCTCTGCCCCCAAAACCAACCCAAAAAGGAAGAGAAGCAAAATTAATGCATGGATATGATTACATTCCGCGGAAAAACAGTTGAAGTCATCAAATTAGATTTGTTTACCTGTCTGCTCTCTTCTTTTTGATGCTTTAAGACTTCCGAAGTCCACTCACTATCTAGCTTTTGAAGTTCAACCAAGATACCAGGCCTTTTCGCATCAGACAAATTCTGGAAACACATTCGATACTTTATATTTCAGCAATCCCATCTAGATCAGGTGAAAATTAGTAAGGAACCATTGAGATCAAGCATAATAACATGTTTAAGTCTGACAGCCATGCCAAAACTTTCCCCAACGATCACAAACTTTACAAACCAGGATATTAAGGAATTGTTTGATACAGCTTTGTATACAAAGTTAACGAAATGTATGGCTGAAAAATTAATAAAAGTTGTGGGTTACATGAAATGTGTAATTAAAATTAAATGTTGATTTTAACCTCACTTTTTACGAACTTTTTAAGCTTTCAAAAACAAACACTAAAGATATTAGGCTTCAGTTTCAGAAGAAAAGATGTATTCAGTCCTTGAATCTAGATTGACGACTTGGAACTCTCCATTCAGAACAAGTCCATGCTAAATTTAACAGGCACCCTCCAACTTGTTCTAAAGCACTTCAGAAAGGTACAGCATTTGGTTTTAACTTACATTCTCTCAAAAACTACAACATTTCTAAAAATACAAGTGACCTGATTCTAAAAATACAAGTGACCTGATTAAGTATTTGAATGATTGCAGCAGCATTTTCAGGCTTGCTTTCAAGGAGGAAACCCTGCAGATGAGTTAAAAGTCAATACCAACAAAAGGATCAGAAACAAGAAAAATTGTGTTTAAAGCACCTATTGCCAACATTATAATGAACTATATACCTGTAAAATTATAATGAACTAATAGGTACAGAATAAAAGGTATGTCTAAATGAAGAGATTGGGGGAGTTGATTCTCTATTATGGTAAATTTTGATTGGGGAGTTAAACTAGACCTATTAGAAAATAATTAAGCTAAGTTATATGCACAAAATTAGATACAGGAGCACGGCTAAGCTGCAAAAACTGTCCCTAGTAAGACTAGGAGTAGCAGCTAAGTTGGTTATCTGGCAAGCTCCAAAGAGAGAGAACAACAGATAATTTATACATTTTTTACACTCAAAGAATTGTGATATTTCAAAAGGAGAGGTTTCATAGTAAAATCATTTTTCACTATTATGAATGTTGCATTTTGTATTCTCGTGATATAGAGAACTTCAGAGATGAATACTGTCCATCATAACATATACCTAAATATACTGCTTAACACTAAATTGTTGAAAGATGAACCATGTTAAGGATGATAAAGTAATCTTACATAAGGATTCATTCCCAGATAATATCTAATAGTTAGTTTGTTCAATTTTCAATTATAGTACATGTATACCCATAAAGGGAGGAGGGACGGATAGGGAGCAAATTTCAAAACAATATGCGGCCACCATATGAATTACCTTAGCACAGGAAAACCCAGTAGCAAGGCTATGCTGTTTCATAAGTTCTGATCTCCACTTCTCAATTTTCCACAAGGAAACAGAATCTCCTGCAAATAAGGAAAATAAGGTAAGTTTGAAATGCATTAACCATTTATGGGTTTATGCTAACCAAAAGATCAAAAGCATGAATTTGTGAGTATTGAATAAAGTGGACAATAATATTCCACAGTCATCATATAGGGGCAAAAAAATACACTTAATTTTTTGTTTTGATGGTAGCAAAAAAGATACTTTATAAGACCTTTCCTGGCAGCAAATTCCATCCACATGTCAAAGGAAGTCTGTCTAAGTCTTACTCCTGATGTGACAAAACGTTTTCCATATTTAGAGATCAGATCCCACCTGTCTGTGTCATAACAAATGCTGCAATAAGCAAAATCCAGTAAGAAGAATAGAAAATTTCAATCAAGAGGGTGTTATAGAATTTTGGTGAACAGTACAGAAGAAATTGAACTTCCATGAGAACAGAAAATCAAAAGACAAGTGCCAAACAATTAATACACCTTGAAAGTGGTTAGTCTTTTTGTGGGTAATCCAACAAAAACATTCTCCACCCACATATGCTTTCATAACATTCAACACTAAAGAAAGAAAATGTACAAAAACAAATGTGCGGCCTTGTTTTCACCATATACTCAGCCTAACAGCATCACAAGAAACATTTTGTTTTCACTTATAGGGGAGGAAGAAACATAAGAGATGTGTCCGCGTTTAAATCTCTAGCAGTTTAAAGTACACAATCATGCCATTAGGCCTTATTACACCATTTGGATCAACATAATCAGGATATACCTTAAAAGGATTGTGGTACAGACCCTTGAAATGAAATATATGAATGGTACACATGCTGTTCAAGAACTTATTATACTCAATATTACTCGCCAATGAGATACACCAGGGTATGTTTTACATGCATCATGGTGAATATGGTCGGGCAGTCTCTCAGCGTAAGACACGAGAAATAAGGTTCAAAGATCTTGTGTAAAACCAAAGGCTATTTTTGTAAGAAGGGGAAGGAGTGAGGATATGAGAAGAGCAAAGAGCAGGCAGGAGAAAGGAGGGTGGTGGGTGGCGTTATCACAAATTCAGCTTAACCATGTTAAATCTGTAACCAGATAACGGGATAGTATATATTAGTTTTATATCTTGGTATCTTAGTGAAAACAAAAGTATGACAACTTGACAATGACAGACTACATAAGAATGATCATCAACATAAGCAGCAGCAGTTGGAAATATTTTTAAGAAAATGGAAGCATAATTTATGACCTGAAAACTAAATCTGCCGTGCCAGGCTGCAATGGTAACTCGTTCTTCTTCACAAGTTTCATTACTTCTACCATGAGTTTGACATCACGGTGTTGTTTAGCATGCAACTGCAGCCACATAACAATTATTTGTTTGCAGATGTGACACACGTACAATAATAAAAACATAGATATCATGAACCTCACAGAGAAGGTGATTTCTTAAGTACCAACAGATGATGGGCAGATCCAATATCAGGAGTCAATCCATATAAATTATGCTTCCACAATGCTTTCTTTCCTGTGCATATACCATAGCTTAAAACACACTCAATTATTGACAAGAACAACAGTATGATCACCGGAGCAGAAAAAGAAAGTTGACTCCCTTGTGAGCCAACCGTGAATTTAAACACGTGTTACTAGAGCAGATCTAGATTTTCAATCCATTATACTTCACCATAGTCAACCACGATAAAACTTCAATTTGACTTTGGACTTGTTTCCTTTCAAATAAACAAGGCATGAATGAGACACATGATAAAATTCAAATGAACGATCTTTTATTATGTTCAATGATGCCATTCAGAAGCAGAATGAGCGTACTTACAGTGCGGAAAACGTGTTCTCATCATTGATGTGTGAAATCAAAAATTGCTTACAGAGTTTACTCAGATGCTAGAAACACATCAGGTATTAAACTACATTTCATCATGGCAATTTAAGTTCACATCAATAAAGAAGATCTTTCATCAGATCTATATGGGTTTTATGGATGAAGCAATGCATCAGAAAAGAGCCAAGAAGACAACAATGTACAAACGAGAGATCACTACTGCAATTTTCAGTATCTAAAAGTTATAAGAGAAGCCCATCGGACCTAAAATATACATGGTAGGCCCCCCATTCAATTTACTTATTCTAGAAGGCCCAAGAAGGATGGACTGCCAGCTAGGAAAACTAAAATCCGTTAGAAGGGAAATCTGTTAGGAAAGTCTGTTAAGAGTTAGGCCATAAATAATTGTAGAAGAATAGCCACAAAGCAGGCAATATTGAGAGAGTAGTGGAGTAATGTCTTGTTTCCAGCCTTCTACAGGCTTTGTTATCATTTTAATTTCTGTAATCGTTCTTCTTTTCAATTGAAGGGGTGTTGATTCATAATTTGAACTTGTTCTTTCCAGTTGGTATCCTATTAGTTGGGTATCCTACCAGTTGGTATCAGAGCTCGTCGTTCCAAATAGCTCAAAATAAAAAATAATAATAATAATAATAATAATTAATAAAAAAAACAGAAGGCAGAGTAGAATTAATGGAGAAAGAGATGGAGAACGTGAAACTAGAGCTGTAGCGACTTCCGGTGTTGGAGAGCTCATTCGAGCAACTATCCCAGAATGTAGTTAAAATGCTACAATCCATGGAGGAGATGAGGAAAACTGTGGCAGCACTGCTCAATGCAAAATCAGGATTGAACAAAAGCTTTGAAGGAGGGGCGTCTGGGAGTATAAAGGGAGGGACGATACCTCCTAACATGCACCAAGGGTCGATGGGAGACCAACGCACCATGGATCGAGGAAAATGGCCAAAAGAATCAGGACCAACCAGTAAAGAGAGAGAGACAATGACCATAGAACAAGAGAAGGATGGTGACGACTGGCGAAGGGTGAAGAAACTCGAAATGCCCATTTTCAATGGGGAGAATCCCGACGGGTGGCTATTCAGCGCAGAAAGATACTTCGATGTGAACGGGCAGACAAAAAAAGAGAGGATGGGAGCGATCGGAGTGAGCTTGGAAGGAGATGCTCTGTCATGGTTGCAATGGATGGAGGCGAGGAACCCATTTTGAAATTGGCAGCAATTTAAGCAAGAACTTCTACTTCGATTCAGACCAACACAGGATGGCAATCTATGTGAGAAATTTCTAGCCATAAATCAAATCGGAACAGTAGCCGAATACAGATGCACGTTTGAAGTCTTGGCGGCTCCGTTGAAGGGGATCTTTGATGAGGTGTTAGAGAGTATATTTGTGAATGGGCTGCAACCTGAAATAAGAGCCAAGGTCCGTCTGTTGGGCCCAAAAGGACTGGGCCAAATCATGGAAATAGCCCAAAAAGTTGAAGACCGAAACTGGATTGTTAAAAAGGGAAAGAGCCCACAGCCCCAAGAAATTATAAGCTCAACCTAACAACCTTCAGGCCAAACCCATTTCCCACAAAGGCAATGACGGTGGAGGAAAGGATCGCGAGCAGGAGGGAAGTTCTGGTGAAGCGAATGACTCACACCGAATGGAAGATGAGGCGAGAGAAAGGGTTATGTTTCAGATGTGAGGAAAAGTATACGACTGGACACCAATGCAAAAATTGAGAGTTGAGGATACTATTGATACAAGAAAACGCAGATGAAGGAGAATCATATTTCGAAATTTCGGTAGGGGAGAATCCATTGGAGGTGGCGAACGTGGTGGAGCTGTGGCTCAATTCAGTAACGGGCTTAACTAATCCGGGGACCACGAAGCTAAGGGACGTCGTCAAGAAACGCGAGGTAATTGTGTTGATTGATTGTGGGGCAACTCACAATTTTATAGCTCTAAAATTGGTCCAGGAATTGGGGCTTCCTACCACAGCTACGACCCATAATGGAGTTATCATGGGAACAGTGAATTAGTTAAGGGAAGGGGATATGCAAAGGGATAGTGCTGGAAATGCAAGGATTGACTATCGTTGAGGACTTCCTACCCTTGGAACTAAGCAACACAAATGTCATGTTAGGGATGCAGTGGTTAGCTAGCTTGGAAAGTATGGAGGTTAACTGGAAATCGGTAACCATGCGATTCCGAATGGGTGATACAATGATGATAATTAAGGGCGATCAAAGGCTAAATAAATTAGGGGTCTCTCTTAGGGAAATGATGAAGGCCTTGCAAAACGAAGGCCACGGGATTTTGGTAGAGGTGGAGGAGCCAAGGAGTGATGACGACAGGGAAAAGGAAAGGGTACCGGAGGAAGTGTTGAAACTTTTACAAAAACATAAGTAGTAGGGCTACCTCCAATCCATAACTTGGACCATGCAATTCCTCTCAAGGAAAGGGTGGAGCCCATTAGTGTCAGACCATATAGGTATCCCCACATCCAAAAAAATGAAATCGAAAGATTGGTGGGAAAGATGTTGGCTGCAGGGCTAATTCAACCCAGTGTTAGCCCATTTTCCAGCCTCGTGTTACTCGTCAAAAAGAAAGATGGCAGCCGACAGTTCTATGTGGATTACAGGGCACTGAATAAGGCGACTATTCAGATAAATTCCCAATTCTAGTCATCAACGAGCTGTTGGATGAGCTTCATGGAGCCACAGTATTTTCAAAAATAGATCTTAAGTCAGGGTATCACCAGATTCGGGTGCGGAAAGAAGATGTGCATAAAACAGCTTTTAGAACCCACGAGGGGCAATGCCCCAGCTACATTTCAATCATAAATGAATGACACGTTCAAGAGGTACCTAAGGAAATTTGTATTAGTCTTCTTCGACGATATTTTAATCTACAGCAAAGACTTAGTGGCTCGTGAACAGCACCTGGACACGGTCTTCACTGCCCTATAGATGCACTAGTTGTACGCTAATGCCAAGAAATGTTTCTTTGCCCAACAACAGATCGAGTACTTGGGTCACTTAGTTTCAGCAACTGGAGCAGCAACAGATCGGGTTAAGGTGGAAGCCATAGTTAGTGGCCGACTCCGCGTAATATCGGAGATCTTCAGGAATTTTTGGGGCTAACAGGATATTACCGAAGGTTCGTGGCAGGAAATGGTGCTATTTCTTGGCCGCTCACACAACAACTTGAAAAAGATGCATTCGACTGGAACGAGGAGGCAGAGGCAGCATTCCAAAGGTTAAAGTTAGCAATGACCACAGTTCCAGTTTTGGCTGTACCTGATTTCTCTAAACCTTTCATCACTGAGACCGATGCTTCAGGACATAGGATAGAGGCAGTCATCGTGCAAAATCAGCAACCCATTGTGTACTTCAGTCAAGTGTTATCAGCAAAGTCACAGCAAAAATCCATTTATGAGAGGGAGTTGATGGCAGTGGTCTTGGCTATTCAAAAATGGAGGCACTATGTGTTGGGAAGGAAATTCATTGTTCGTACTGATCAACGCAGCCTAAAGTATCTACTGGAACAGCGAGTCATTCTGGGGGAATTTCAGCGATGGGTCACCAAACTGATAGGCTATGACTTTGAGATACAATACCGACCAGGAGTGGAGAATAAAGCTACCGACGCCTTATACCGCATTCCCATTCAGCTGGAACTTGCGGCCCTTACATTTCCAGTGCTCGTGGATGAACAACAGATCAGTGCACAAGTCAACAATGATCCCATGCTCTCAAAAATCAAGAAGTACAAGAGGATTCAGATGCACATCCATGGTTTTCAATCGACCAAGAAAGGCTGCTTTTCAGAGGATGACTCGTACTTCGACATTGATTCCTACACTGCTTCACAGTAGCTTAGTGGGAGGCCACTCCGGATTCCTTTGAACATACAAAAGGCTTACCAATAACCTTTATTGTACAGGAACGAAGAAAGACATCAAGAAGTTTGTAGATGAGTGTCCAATATGTCAACAAAATAAAAGTATCACTCTCTCCCCTGCTGGACTGCTTCAGCCCCTGCCAATTCCGCACCAGATTTGGGACAATATCTCAATGGACTTTGTGGAAGGACTACCTAAATCAGGTGGGTATGACTCGCTGCTGCTGGTGGTAGACCGCTTAAGCAAATACGCGCATTTCCTGCACCTAAAACACCCTCACTGCATTTGGGGTAGCAACAGTTTTTGTCAAAGAAATTGTGCAACTTCACGGCATTCCCAGCTCTGTAGTTTCAGATTGAGACAAAGTATTCTTAAGTCACTTCTGGACAGAACTCTTCCGATTGCAAGGAACCTATCTCTGGCGAAGCACAACCTACCATCCACAAACCAATGGGCAAATAGAAGTTGTGAACAGATGTGTGGAAGCCTACTTGAGGTGCTTCGCCTACGCAAACCTTAAACATGGAGTAGTTGGTTACCTTGGGCAGAATATTAGTATAACACAACTCCTTTCCGAGCCGTTTATGGGAGGGACCCTCCTCCCTTGATCCGCTATGGCAACCAGAGAACACTCGTGAACTCGGTGGAGCAGCAACTCAAGGACAGAGACATTGTTCTTAAAGTCCCACCTCCTTCGTGCTCAGGACAAAATGAAAGTAGCTGCAAATAGTAACCGACGGGATGTCCAATTTGCAGTAGGAGATTTAGTCTATGTGAAGCTCCGGCCGTATCGACTCCGATCATTAGCCAGGAAACTGAATGAAAAATTAGGACCAAAGTAATTTGGTCCATATGATGTGATGAAGCGCATTGGGCCCGTGGCCTATCAATTAAAGTTACCCCCTAAGGCAACAATACATCCCGTTTTCCATGCGTCACAACTAAAAAAATCAATTGGGTCGATAGAAGCCTGTCAGCTGATTCCTCCCCACCTTGATGCAAACCTCGAATGGATAGTAGAACCCGACCAAGTCTTGGGAGTACGTCAAGCTCCCCTGGGCGAGCCCCCAGGTCAGGAAGTATTAATACAATGGAAGGACCTTCCAACCTCTGATGCTTCTTGGGAATCGGTCAACTCAATTCTGCAGCACTTCCCAAATTTTCACTTTGAGGACAGGGTGTCTTGCGAACCCAGGGGTATTGATGGGCCCCCCATTCAATTTACTTATTCTAGAAGGCCCAAGAAGGATAGAGTGCCAGTTAGGAAAACTAAAATCCGTTAAAAGGGAAATCTGTTAGGAAAGTCTATTAGAGTTAGGCTATAAATAATTGTAGAAAAATAGCCACAAAGCAAGCAATATTGAGAGCGTAGTGGAGTAGTGTCTTGTTTCCAGCCTTCTACAGGCTTTATTATCAATTTAATTTCTGTAATCGTTCTTCTTTTCAATCGAAGGGGTGTTGATTCATAATTTGAACTTTTCTTTCCAGTTGGTATCCTATGAGCAAGCTGTGTCTAACTGGTACATTTACCTAAGAGAAAAGCAAGTTAAATACAATGTAGTACGAAGTTAACATGTTGAGTTTCATAGTGCACAAATGATAGAAATTCCATTTTTAATTTGCACATCCATATTCAAGTATCCAGTTCACACTTTTTCATCAACTAATCTACTACTGCAAACAAGAAGGGGTATGATATATCTTAATACCAAAATCAATAGCTCCTACACGTGCACATGCTTTCGTAACTTCCCTGCAAAGGGCACTGTTAAAATTGTCGGGTATCCGAAGATTGGAGAGTCTCTGAAATCCATAAGAAAAATAATAATCTACCAGGAATTGAAAATAAAAGGAAGCCAGCTACTATAAAGCATAAAACAAGTAAACACTGACAAGTAAACGAAGTCTCTGCAAAATATCAAACAGAAGCTTAATATCCTCGTGGTTGGAACATTTTTCCAAGAGTGACCACAACCAAGCATTTGGAGGAGCAGTTCTTTTCTCTGCCACACAATTCAGCATCTTATCATATACTTCCTTTGCAGTGCCTGCATGTGAAACAACACGAAAGGCATATTCTCACCACAGAAACTTCAAAATTCTATTTGACAACTTCAACACCAGAAAAAGTAAATAACCACCTGCAGAATCATTTTCAACCGCACTGACTTCCGTAGAATATGGTGCAGAGGTCAGCACTATATGTGTTGGAATTCGCGTTATAGATTCTTGACAATATGATTCCATCGGTAAACAATTCCCATGGAGAGTCCCTGCATATTTATAAATTCCTAGACAATCATATTAACTGCATTGTATAATTTACAGATCACAGTCAGAAAATAATCAATGTCCACTATGAGAACATGTGCGAGGCAATCATGTTCACACACACAATTGCCAGCAAGCAAACTAATTCGCACATAATCCTTACGCTTGTTTAGGTGTGCCTCTGAGCGACAAAAAATCAAAATCTTCTTTCCCCTCACGGTAACAAGTATTGTTTTTCTGATATTTGGAAGGACTTAAAATTGCAGAAACAAAACAAAATGAAAAAAATAAATAATAATAATAATAATAATAATAACTAATCAGCTAAGAAAAAAATGATTTCTCTCTTTATTTTTTGTTTAGAATTCAAAATTTTCTATTTGAATTTGTATTTTCTGATTTCATATGATACGTGATTGATAACCAGTCAGCTAAAATAAACCCAGCTATTTTTTCTTCTCTTAACATTGAAAATCTTCCATCAATACAATTCCGAATCTTCCAATCTAATTTTCTGAAATAAAAAATGTGTACTGAAAGGGTACCTGAGGAGGTGAAGTGAAAGCGCCGGCATAGAGCGGGGGACCTGAGTTCAGAACCATTTTCAGCGGCTTGAGACAAGTTGACTCCTTCCGGTGAGTTAAAGGAACACGGCGACAGGTTTTTCAAAACCCTAATTACCCGCCGAGATTTTGATATTACTCCGGTTGCTTGCATTTTCTCGTCCACTTGGAGAGGGAGACGAAGTTGTTGCTGTTTCGGTAAATTAGACAAACAAGGCCTTAATTACTTGCCCTTCTATTTTTATTGGGCCAGATTTTCTTGGCCCAGAACTAGCAGAGGATATGACTCACATGAGTATCTCCAGCCCAGTCCAAAATTGAATTCTTTTTCAATTAATTTGAATATTAATTTATTTTAACAATTTTTTTTTAATGATCGTAGGTGTCCAGGCCAACATACGCGCACCTCGACTAATTTTACGAAATCGCATTTTCTCGTCCACTTGGAGAGGGAGACGAAGTTGTTGCTGTTTCGGTAAATTAGACAAACAAGGCCTTAATTACTTGCCCTTCTATTTTTATTGGGCCAGATTTTCTTGGCCCAGAACTAGCAGAGGATATGACTCACATGAGTATCTCCAGCCCAGTCCAAAATTGAATTCTTTTTCAATTAATTTGAATATTAATTTATTTTAACAATTTTTTTTTTAATGATCGTAGGTGTCCAGGCCAACATACGCGCACCTCGACTAATTTTACGAAATTCTGAAGTTTACAGCCGAATATTCACCTCAACGGCTCTGAGAGGATTCGAACTGTTGATTATTGGGAAGCAAATTCAAGGTCTAATCACTGAGTTACCTCTCATGATTAATTTATTTTAACAATTAAGCCTAATTGTAATTTTATTTTCCTTTTAACATTTTTAAAATAAAAGGAGACAGTAGTTGCAGGCAAACTTACGAAGCAACATTAGAAGGGGTATGTTAACAGGCGATTCTATGCATCTAGGATTCATATTAGGGCTCTTCTCCTACGGATAGAAATTTCTTTTGAATAAGCTAATAGTTGATTTTCATATTTCTCGATCAAATAATAAGATTGGTCAAAGAAGTAGTGAGGAGGGTCAAGTTTGAGTTGAAGATTGATTGATGTGTATGAGTAGTGAAACTAAAGAAAATTGTGTTATAAGTTAATGAAATGTTTTTTTTTTTTTGGTTTTTTTCTACTTACTTATTTGTAAAAGCTTATAACCTCATTGTGATTTGTAGAATATAAGATCCTGTCTGGTAGAAATTATCTCCCCACTAGAATCAATTTTCCAGTCACACCATAAGGGCCCATTGTCAGCCGGTTACTTGCGTGGTCTTGCAATAGAAAATTAGAGTGATAATTTTACCCTCCCACAAATCGGTTAGTATGAAGTCGTTTTCTCTTTCCTTAATTGAACACAAAGTTTGACCAAGTAAATACTCTAACAGCCTTTATTGTTTACACGTTTTTTGAAGCCACAATAGTGTGCGCATGGGCCCATCAATCAAGTGCAAGAAGGAAAAATTCGTCCAACACTTGTGACAATCACCAACATTTTTAAATTGGCTATAATTGAAAATACTTTCGAGAAAATTAACTGTACGAAGGTTTGTACGGTTGTAATACTTTTGACGTAAATTGTAAAATGAAGGAACTTCAACTAATATCGAAAACACATAACTCTTATTTTTTTCGTTTTCGAATCCTACAAGCATGACAACAAACGGAGATACAAACAAGTGGAAAATTAATGTACTACATTATTGTACGTGGACAGCGTTATTATAGGAACACATGTTCACTGATTTTGAGCCAAATAATTGCGAAAACAAGCTCATTCATTTCATTGCATTTCTGGAGCATTAAATTCAGTAATAGCTTGTTCCTGTTCGTCCGAAAGTTCTACCTCCGTCGTATCGAGATCCATCTCCACTATTGTAAACGCTTCGTCCACAACTCCAGCCCGTCGAAGAAAGTTGTGTATGCCCGTTGTAGCTATGACAACAGCTGTCTGCACTTTGAAATTGTAACTTAGCATACGATCAAGTATTTTCTACATACCAAATGCACGCTCGATGACATTTATGTAAGATGAATGCTTGAAGTTAAATTTCTCACGCGCGTTGTGAAAGTTTCGCCTACAAACAATCTGATCATCGAAAAACTGCTGAAAATGATACAATATATCTAAACCCTTATACAGAGCCATGTACCCAGGTCTATGGGCGAATTCCAAGTCGACGAGATAATATTTTTGTGGGGCATGATGCGGGAAATCAATTTTAGGACTATGTACGAACCGAGCCAACATGCGTGGTTCCCGTCCACCCTGCATGCACAAATGTGAAACAATTGCCAGAACATTCTGTGTTGAAATGCCCTTGCATCCGATGAAATTGACTTGTTCGTCCAGTGGCAAGACAGCTTTGACGTACATTCCGTCAATCGTACCTATGCAATTCTCGAACAATGGATGATTGTTCAAATTTGGTAGTAATGCTCCGCACTGTGATTGTAGTTTGGGTCAGGTCTGATGAGACATAAACCCAATTCACATGCGGCTCCAAGTACAACTTTAATGTAGTGTTCAATAGTTTCCAAAGAATGATTGTATAGCGTTCGAACCTATCTGTAGCCTTTTTCGTGCGCTAATATACACAGAAACAACCTAACTTCTTCATACACATCAACTTGCTAGCTACTACGTAGTCCGTATTCGTCACGAAATATATGCGTGAACGTACGTAGCATGGCGGGGTACATCCTGAATTCTGCATAACACCGTTCGGGATTACATTGCATAGCATCCAGCATAAACATGTGTTCATTCCTCGCAACAGGAATCTTCTTATTCGACGTCTCTGTTCGCGAAGTAGGTTGCTGCATCTACTTCTGACATTCGACAGTATCGATTCCACTGGACAATGTCCTCTTCAAGATCTTGCAGAAATTTCTCTTCCCCGATAACGCATTCACCATCAGAAGACGATAGAAGCACACAGTTGAAATCAAAGATATGCCTCACGTCCTTTGAGTTGAAGTTGAAGAAAAAGAATACCCCAATTGCATTCCTTGGAAGTTAATTTTATAGAATGGGAGAGATTGGTTGGAAGGTCTCTTTTATAGAGGTGTTGCTCCACAAAAGGCTGTCATCGTAGTAACACATGAACTTGTTGCCAATTAAAAAAAAATCTTGAATCAATTGATAGATAGTGTATGATTTGAAGGTGCTTTAGCATGATTCTTGCAAAAAGGTAATGTACAATTACCATGCCAACAACTGGAGTGACGGGGCAATAGGGCTGAATAAAAATTTTGAAAATGCAACGAAATCTGAAGTACAGATATGGATGCATAATAGCAGTAGTAATAGTACAGTCCAATAGTGTTCGCATACACATGCCTCATACGAAAACATAAAAAAAAATGAAAACAAATATATAAAGGGTCTACGTAATACGGTTGTAACGGGAAACACAACATTTCGTTTCACATTTTTCACTTCGGGTGGGTCGTCATGTACTCCTGCCAGCTCCACTTGACCCAATCAAATTTGTCATTCGCGTCTTCCTGTATTGCAATTACCTCCCTATTTCACCTCAGTGACAGGAACGATAACATCCAGAAGTACATATAAGTTTTTTTTCGAGTCGACCTGTCAACAACAACTCCGTCATGAGTGTATTTGCAGTCGGCATAGCAGGACCAACCAAGCTGTCGATTTTAGCTGCTAGTGCTTCACTGGTAGAGGCAGCCTGTTGAACATATTCAGATAAATTCGTCGCGACTATTTTTGCTATCTTCTCCTTTTTGATCTTCGTACCAGACGTACGTTTGTCCTTGCTTCGTGGCCTCAAGCCATCCATGGTGGACCCAGCCTTATCCGTTCTCTCACTCTCATCACTTAATCCGCTGCTCTCCTCGCTAAGTGGATGAATGTAGTGCAGGTCTTCGTGTCCATTATCTTCAAAAACGACGACCCTGTCTGCATATCTTCGACAGTGTGACCGCATACTTATCGCTGTCGTAGGCGTTCCCGAATAACACCTTGTAGTTGTACACCTTTCTGCAATCTTTGTCTCTGAACTCTCTGTAGTCCTTGTTTTCCTATTGACATGCAGAAGAAGTAGAACGTCGGAAAGGTTCAAAGCAACCACGGGTTCGATATAGCATAAAATAACACGTAGAGATTGCACAACTACACAGATTCCAAATGAAACATCAAAAAGGGGACTGATCCCACACCCATATAAATCAAGAGAAATGTTTACCATGTTGCAATCATTAATCCTCACATTTATAAGTATATGTTAACATTATAAATTGATCTATTCCATGTGATCGTATCATACCCCAAACTGAAGCCAAATGAGCCAGCTACCCTTGATAAGAGAATAAAAAATAACAGCAATAACGCAAACATTTATCTTCATAGTTTTAGATCCAAGCTGATAGGTCAATTTATAAAATAAAATAAAATGAAAAGCCAATTCCAACATATCACAATTAATCAACACATCCAGAAACCAACAAACAAATTCTTCTGTATCAATTCCCAGAAAAGAAATATGCGGAAAAACCTTTAAAATAAACACGCAAAAATACATATACATACTCACTAACATTTAGCTAGTTTGCCTATACTACCCTCTTTCTTAAAAATGATAGCAATAGTTGTTCATTCAAGGAATATAATCAATGGCCAAATCGGAAGCCGAAGTTAATTTAAATAATGGGTCGGCTAGTCCCTTTTTCGAATTTATGCCACGAAATTTGTAATTACCTGTTGTTGTACACTGTTAATATGAAATTGGCGATTTGATGTTGTTGGCCAAATTGTGAAAAATAATAATAATGATTCACAGACCATGCTTATTTTAGCTTGTAAACGATACGGTAAATTGCAGTGTACCTTAATCTTTCGCTCCCACCACTCGCTCGAGGCAGCAAATGTTCCCGTTGCGAATATATACTCGACACCGGTGCCGTTCAGTAGCTCTTATAGACGTCTATGCTTCTGCCGAAGACCATCCCAATGATTCTTAAGCTGTCGCTTCGTCCAACAATGACTGAAGTTAGAGTTGAACAAATGGATGACTTGGTCCCATCCGTGTTTCATGAAGCACTTTTCGTTACGATGCCCATCTGCAATCATCGTCTCGGACGCGGCAATGAAAATTGGTTCTCTTGTGGATTCCATTGGGCATTCTTGCGCGTTGGTGCTTAGGTCGT